CTGTTCCAACTGGAGAGTTACAAGGGTTGAGTAGGTTGGCGTGGTTTTAAGCAGATTGCATCCACGATAAGAAAGGTATAAAGTGTGCTCATAATTCTAATCGCTCTCGTCTTTTTATTCTCCGTGGCCTCTTCCCATATGTTCACATCTCGGGCATTCCGTGCACAGCAGTTTTAAGCTGAACTGCTGTCTTTTTTTTTTTTTTTTTAAGATTTTATTTATTTGAGAGAGAGAATGAGAGACAGAGAGCACGAGAGGGAAGAGGGTCAGAGGGAGAAGCAGACCCCCCGCCAAGCAGGGAGCCTGATGTGGGACTCGATCCCAGGACTCCAGGATCATGACCCGAGCCAAAGGCAGTCGCCCAACCAACTGAGCCACCCAGGTGCCTAAGCTGAACTGCTGTCTTAACCGCCTCTTGGTGGCACAGCCTAGCTCGCCATCTCGTTCCCAGCCCTGCGCACAGCCGTCGTCTTATTTACAGCCCTCAGGAACAGCACTTCATTGTTACTGTGTGCATCACTGCAGGGGAGAAACCTCACAGAGATGTCATGTTGAATGTGTCTGGGTGTATCTGAGGGTAGAATCTGGAACTGCTAACTTCATGGTAGGGGAAAGGCTGGCCATCGTCTTTTTGTAGGAGTTCCCCTAAGAGATTCTTCGGGGGGGCCTCACCATTGAGAACCATCACCTTGGGAATAAATACACGGGGCTCTCCTGTTGCCTGCTGCAGCACCTTCAGTTTCTTACCTTGATTACTGAAGATTTGTTTATATTACAGCACAACTGGGATACTGAGACTTTGGTTTTCCAGCATATTCACTATTGCTTTGCCAGATTTTTCTTAAAAACTCCCTGCCATCACTCAGATGTTGAACGTTTGCACGCTTGCTGCATGCCTTGCACTCTGCCTGCCTCTGTCCCATCCAATGACTTTGAAAGATCTTTAATGAAATCGATTTTTAAAAATGAAACCTCTCTGCTAACAGTTGTGGTTCTGGTCCCTGAGTATTAAAGTGAGTTTTCAACACAAAGCCTCAGGCAGCCTGTGTTCTTCTGGTCTCTCTGGTCAGAGGCCAGCACTGAGGGAACCTTTGAGGAAAGCATCTATTTGAGGGAGCGGATGGACGGGCAGGAGCCTCGCTGCCAGCCCACCTCGCATCTCCAGGCTGATGTGCTACGCTTTGGCATCTTTGTCCCTTACCCTTGGAAGGGGCCTCGGAGTTCGTCTGACCTCATTTTCTGTGCAGAGCTGGGGTTCCGTTTCGCATCCCGCCTGAGGGGAGGTGGTTTGGCCTTTGGACGTTCTGACCACGGTGAGCTGCTTCATCTTGAAACAGTCTTGCAGCGCCTGAGGAATGCAGAGTCTCAGGCCCCTCCTGACCTTCTCAGTCAGAACCTGCACTTTAGAAACTGTGGAAGCCTTGTGCACGTGGAAGTTGGGAGACCGAGGCATGCCAGTGAGAGGGCTTAGCGCTCAGAGCTGGGGCGTCAGCTGCTTGCATCCCAGGCTGGCACTGTCTCCCCGTGTGTGCAGCCCCTGTCGGATCACATCACTTTCCCGGAGGCACCTCAGACTAGAGCGTGTGCCTCATGCCTAGGAACGTGCTCCAGAGTCCGATTTCATTCATGCTCACGGCTTGGTCAGTCCCGTGTTCGATCCGGTGAAATACTGTGCTGGTTGTGTAGTGTGTCACTGAGAACGCAGACATTTTACTTTGAAGTAGAGGTGCCGTTTTTGTCCGGTTAATCCTGATTTCACTAAAACTTGGTGAAATGGTCAGATTTTTCAGACACCCATTAGGTGCCTGTGTCATATAAGGTGCTCTTCGAAGTCCAGAGGGTACAGCAGCGAACAAAACAGACAAAAAGTCCCTACTTTATTGAGCTTTGAGGGGGCCTAAGAAGGTCACACAAGCGTAGACGTGACATCTGTGAGGGGTCCGTGCAGATGCGTATGGGGTCTGGGGGGCCCTCCAGGCAGATCCTGGCTGCCAGGCCCACCCCGGTGGCCACAGTGGGTTGAGTGGAGGGGAGAAGGGAGAGGTGACAGGTCCCCTGTAGGTCGTGGCAGAGGCTGTCTGGAGGTGGGACGGTGATCAGCTGGTCCCGGGGGCACAGGAAGTGTCCATTGAGGGAGAAAGCGAGGTGCTCACAGGACAGAAGACTTGGAACTTCATGGACGCGGTGGAGTCGGGCTGGTTGTTGGAGAGCATCTTCTTGTGGCCCCTCCAGCCATAGCAGGAGGCGACATTTGGAACTGATCAAGTCTTTTATTCTCGTGTCCATCAGGCTCATGACTGGAGCGCCGCTTGTGAGCGTGAGTCAGAGAGCATCTGAGTTGAACTGCGGAGGTCACATGGGGCAAATTAACTTAACCAAAAATAACCCCAAACACGGCATTTCTGGGAAATGCAGGGGAAGAGAGCTTTCAATGTAAACAAAGGAGCAAAGTCAAGATAAAGGCTTGGGTGGAAAAAGTGAGCATCTGGAAAACTAGGAAGAGACGCTCTGGTAAAACACAGTGAGGCAAACAAGTATTTCTTTTCTGCTGATTATAATTTTAAAAGAGTTTTCTTTTGCATGTTTGTGTTGTCGGCATGGCATGTGCTTCCACAGTGTGACTCTTAGGCTTTCCCCTTCTCCTGGGAACCGTGGCGCATGGACCTACACCCTTACCTTTCCTGTCAGCCCATGGAAGGAGCTTCCTGTCCCCCCGGGTGACACCTGGTCCTCACAGGGGCTGACCAGACAACAGGCCTCCTGTGCTTTGCACTCTGGCTGAGGGGCCCAGTGCACAGGACAAAAGAACACCATGACCAGTGTCCAGGCCCCACTCCAGAAATTCTGATTGGGTGGGGGTGGGAGACACACGTTCTTGCTGGGCCTCGGGGGTTCCCCACGCCTCGAGGTTGAGAACCACCCATCCAGTGCAGTTGTCTGTACCTACCAGGCTGTGCTCAAGGCAAGCATCCTGGCTGGGCTGTGTTCTCTCCCTGCCTCTGCTTCGACCCTTCCAGAGGCGAGAGTCCGGAGGCTGGTTTTCTGTTTAGGGTGCTTTCGGGTGGGCATGGGTGTGCACATCTGTGTGTGCGGGTTCGTCACTAGCAAGGTTGGCACTTCTAGACTAGAGCGTGTGCCTCATGAGGTTGGTTGTCCGGACAACTCAGCCTCACCCTTTTGCAGTTGAGGACTTAGACATACTTCCCAAGGGAGCCCAGAGGACATGGAGGCTCGTGTGAGCCAGGCCAGAGCCGATGGCATCTGCTGTGGTTAGGTTTATTACAAGAGTTAAAAATGTTAACCTCCTGAGTTGTTTCCCAAAGTGATATTTACTGTTTGGAACTAAAAATCTTGCCCTTTCATTAATTACTTGTAAGTGTTGGTTCTGTTATCTTATTTAATAGGACAGAAGTTCGTTCCTGGAATACTCTGACCATTAGATGAAACTTTGCTGAATCTGAGGGAAATAATCCATTTTTGTTAAATGACAAATATAAGTAATTTAAATTTTAACTGTCTTGATAATATCTTGGTAATGTTATCCAAAAAACTGATTTTTTAGAGGAGTCTTGGTGGCTAGGATTTATTTCCTTGGGCTCTGTGAACTTCCACATTCTGCTACGCTGTGCTGGGGGCATATGCGGAGGCCTCCCTGCGGTGGCTTTGACATGGGTGGGTGGGAGGGGAGAGGGCTTGCTGGGTACCCGGCGTGTGCAGTCTGTCCGGAACATAGTGGCTGTCGCCGTGCTGCTGGCGTGGTGGCATCTCTGGCCTCTCCTGCTGGCCCTCTGCCTGCTCTGGGCTCCCAGGCTCCTCCGATGGGCCGCCCCCTGCCTTCCAGCGAGTGACGCTGACTAATGAAAACCAAGGGCCGGCCCGGCGTGCGTCTGGTCGACTCCACATCAGGATGGAGACCAGCGGTCAAAACCTTGCCCCTTCCTTGTATGTGTAGCATAGTGTTTCTCACCCTTTAAAACTCACACCTGTCTTGATAAACTTTAAAATCTTGACTCTCCTTTGAAATTTTGCTATATATTAAATTGTGACTCTGAGGAAGTCAAATCATTGGTCACTTTCATTCTTCTCAAGCCTACAAGTACTCAATAAATTTTGGCTGTAAACTTTTTAGGTACTGATCCTCGTTAAGGGGGAAAAATGAAAGTTCTTGCCCCCACCGCAGGCGCCCCGGGGGCTCTCCTCTCTTCTCCGATGTCACTGCGGCTCACCACGTGCCGTCTCCTCCCGGCTGTCCTCCCGCCTCTGGCCGTGTGTTTGCACAGACGCGCTGGCGGCAGGCAGAGAGCAGGAGGGCCGGAAGCCCGCGTGAACCTGGTGGGGTGCTGAAGAGCTGCTGTCGCAGGGGCCGGGCACCCGCCGACCTTCGTCTGGTCGGGGCTGTATGCTCAGCTGTTGCGGAGGCTCTCCGCTCTTCACTCTTACAGAAGCTGCTGCTGTGAGCGCCATCCCCCCCCCACGTGTAACTTTGTGTGACGAATTCCTAGAAGTGGGATTGTAGTGTGACGTTAGGATGTGTACCCCATGTAGAGCCAGTTGTAGTCTCTTCTTGACTGTTCTTTTTAGAGCATTTGTGACTTCTTCAAGATTTATAGGACAGCGTCAGGTCCAGCTGTGTAATTAATTTTATAGGGAACTCTCTGACTTGAACAAACAAAATACGAAGTTTTACCTCAGAGGGGAGGTATGCAGCTCCCGGCAGCTCGGCTGATGGAGCTCCTGTGCAGGCGCACGAAGCAGCGGCACAGCCGCGCTGCCACCTGCACGCGCACTTAACCTGGCTGGGTTTAAGTTCCAGTGGTGAGGAGGAAATGGGTGCAGGAAGTGCTTGTTGTTACGGTATCGTATAAGTGGTGTTTCATATAAAGTTTTTATATGAAAATTGAAACTATAATAAATATCAGTGACTTTAAGGTAACGATGAAAATCATTCCACATGGACCAGATGGAAGAAAATAAGATGATTTTTTTTTTTGTCCTCCCAGGTGACTCCAAGAACTGAGGCCCCCGTCAGCAGTGTGAGTAATAGTTTGGAGAATGCACTACATACATCGGCACATTCCACGGAGGAGTTGCTACCCAAGAGGACTGTGGGGAAACACTCCAAAGGTGAGTCCATCTGTGTGAGGGCTCCAAGGGAAAGAGGTGCACCAGGGTGTGGAAAGCAGATCTTTGTGATGCTCTGTGGTTAAATACTTTGAGATCTTTCATCAGCTATGGTCTTTTGTATGGTACGCTATTTTTCTAAATTGTACAAATAATATATGAACATATCTTGGCTGTAAAAGTCTCAAATACTGATGTTTATTAAGGGAAAAAATGAAAGTTGTTGCACTCTCCTCCCTGCCCCATACCAAATAAGTCCTAAATTCTAGAGAAGGACTATCCTGTAGAACTTTCTGCAGAGATAATGGAGTGTTCTCTCTCTGCACTCACTCAGGTGCCATCAGCCACGTGTACCTTTTGAGCACTTGAAATGAGCCTCATGCAACCAAGGACCTGAAATTTTATTTTTATTTCCTTTGCATTGGAACTGCGATAGCTCTGCGTGGATAGGGGCCACCATATTGGACAGCACCGCTCTGGAGATGGCAGAGGGTACATTTCAGATGAAGTTGAGTCTTCTTGGTTCTTGGGTCAGCTGGACAGTCAAAGTGTCTCACTTAACCATACAGTTGTAGTCTGAGTGGTGGTGTGGGGACTTCCCAGGAGGCGAGTGCAGGTGACATGTGGGACTCGTGAGGGCCAGGATGGGCCCAACTTGGCCCTGTGATCAAGAGGCCCCGGGCACTCAAGGCTACCCACCACCTCCCTCACTGGCCTTTGTTCTCCTTTTGTTTATGTCTCAGGCACAGTGTACCTCACGGATGCTTCATAAATACTTCGTTTTTAAAATAAAGCCCCATTCTGAGAATCACAGAGCCAGCTGTCCCTGACTTAGGTCATAGGCTGGAAGTAGCCAAATTCTAACTGCTGCCCTCTGTTTATGTGCATAAACGCGTACCGGTACTAAAACTGTGAATCCTCGTAGGTCAGCTCCTAGATGGGGCCGTTGTTGAGAAGATGCAGCAGGGCTTCACCTCCCTGGATGAATAGTTGTCACTCAGGCGTAGGGACTTTTCTACCCTGACACTGTCCTTGTCCTTTTTCCTTAGACATGTCACCCTGGGAGAAGTGCCTTCCAGTGAGGTGTTGTGTCCTTTGTCCCTCGACTGTCCAGCATGGGCCCTCTGCCCTGCACCCTCCTCATATGGGGGGACGGCCTCCTCTTTCCCATAGTGCTTTTTCCTTGAGACATAATTATCAAGATCCTCATTCCTATCTTTTAAATATAATTGCAAGATAACGTGACTGTTCTCTGTCCGTCCCTTGTCCGTGTGTGGTGGTGCTGAGAGTCCCAGGGGAGCTGTCTTTGGTATCAGGTGCAGCAAACGAAGCATAGTGAGCCAGGCGTTGTTAGTTGTCCACTGTGTTCTCCATTCAGTGGTTCTAAGTAAGCAGTTTCTTCTGCCCAGAATTTGGCAAGCAAGCGAAGTTGGTTTTCTTCGTCACGCTTCTCGTGATGCTCTGCTGGGCCTGGGCGGTTACTCTTGGCAAAGCCTAAAGTCACTGCAAGTGTTATTACTATAGAGTTTTCTCGCTGTCTTTTCTGTATTCTACTTGTATTTTGATTTTTCTCTGCTTCCTTGGAAGTCCTCAGCGATAAAAGAGGTCAGACTTCCATTTGTTTTGTATAAAAGTTCAGGTGATAGCACGGAGGACAGCCAGAAACTGACCGCTCTTGTCAGATGGCGTTCAAGGTGGTGGTCGTATTTCCCTGTGCTCTTTCTTGTGAGGATTTTCAAGTACGGGAGTAGAGGGACTGGGGCAGCCGTTCCTGGCACCTGGCTTCAGTGGCAGGTATGGGCTGTGCACTCCTCAGGACCGCCACGCGGCCCTGCCGGACTCGCCTGGAGAGAGCTCAGAGCCCACGCGTTCCGGCTTGCCGTACTGACGCCTAGGGAAGCGTCTGTGACGTGCAGAGTGAGGTTGAAATTACTTGTAGTGATGTGCTTGTTGAGAGGAGTTCTATAACTTGGTTTTCTGGGTTGGAGGAGTTATTTTTTAGAATTGTCCTTGTGTGAGACTGGGAGTCTCCGCAAGCTTAATGACACCGCAGACCGCTTAGCTGCGGTCCTAAAACCTGGTCTCCAGACCGCTTTGCATTCTTAAAACTTAAGGATTCTAAAGAACTTTGGTTTATGTAGGTTATACCTATAGATATTTATCATATTAGAAGTTAAAACTGGGATTTTTTTTTTCCCGAATAAATGCTTTTTGTCGTGTACCACTGTGGTTTTTGTGTTTGTTGTGTGGCAGCTTTATGACACAGGGTAATGTCAAAGTCAAGCTCCAAAAGTCTTGTCCTGTTGGTGACACAGAAAATTAGAGTAGGAGTTCTGATAAGAAGCATGACCGTAAAACCCGGCTTCTGAAAGACTGGTAGCAGGCTGCCTTGCTCGTGCCGCACTGGGGATCGAAGGTGCGTTTGGAATTGAGGTGTTTGTATCATTTTAATTTGTCTGTTGGCTCTTTCAACATTTTATTAAGACTTTGAAACATACAATAAAGTTCAGAGAATTTTACAGTGAACACCTGCCATCCAGATTCCATAATTTCATTTTATTTTACCTGCTTCTTCCCTTATCTATCTCTCCATCCATGAAGACATTGCATTTTTTGGTGCATTTCAGAGTAAGTTGTTCTGTTGACTTTTTTGCTATGTTTTTGTGCATTATTATTATTTTTTGGAAACTGGTTGTTTGCAACCTTCCTCAGCCAACGAGTCTCATTTGAAGCACAGAACAGAGTTGTCTGAGTGATGGTTTCTCATCCCCTAAAGAAAGAGTGACCCGGACACATGGTCAAGCTGACCGTCCCACAGGGCTTCTTGCAGACAGCAGGGCTCAGCTCTGTTTGAGTCCCCATTGAGGGGAGCTACAGGGGTCACAGCACACATCTGTCACTTCCGGCCTTGCCTTGAATTCAGAGCCAACCACTGGATGCAGAGCGTGAGAACCGTGCGGCGTGCCGGCCCACGGGGGTCTGCTGTTCAAAGTGCAGGAAGGTTTTTGGCCTCTTGATGTCCTGTTGATGGCAGAGAATCGGCCGTGGTGGAAGTATTTACACCTTGGAAGCGGGTACAGTCCGCAGAGGAGGGGCTGTCCCGCAGCCAGCCGTGACACGTTCTACAGAGGTCTGCTGCAGTAGCCCCCCCACCCCCAGCCTGTCCTGTCTGCTGTGGTTGTGTCCGCCCCGTGCACGTGTGCCGTGCACCCGCAGCCCAGCTCTGGGAAGAGCAGGTGGTTTCCTGTGACCCGTGAGCCCTGGCACCCTGACTTCAGCACCCTCCTCTCTCAAGCTGTCATGAGAGGTCATGACAGGGCAGCTCTTATCTTCGCTTGGCATATCTGATCCACCCCACCCACCACCACCACCACTCTGTCCTCTCTTGTTTCTTTCCCTTTTTAAACCGTGGACCATCCTACATCCAGCAGCGTTGGGGTGGCGTGCTCCGTTGGTCTCCTGGTGACACACGTCCCGGTTCTCCTCTTGCCTCTCTGTCTGCTCATTCCCTGTGAAACCCCCCCTTCTGTCTGCCCCTGAGACTCTGGTGCTGTCTGGCCTCCTCTCTGGTGTCCACTCACGCTCCGTTTGTCTTCTCTTCACCAGTTGATGACTTTGAGATCTGAGTGTTCAGCTGAGACCCCTGCCGGGAACCCCGAATTGCTGTGAATATTTCCATTGAGGGGGCCTGCTGTGGCGCCTCTGCTGTGTGCCCGGAATGGACCCATCACTCCCATTGCCGCCCCTAAAATGAGTTTCCAGTATACGCGATGGGTGCCGACCTTCTGGCGTTTGGAGCCACACCTTCAGGCCCACCCCAGCTCCCTGCCCCCCACGAGCGGGCTCAGCCTCACAGCCCTGGCCGGTGTGGCTCTGCGGGGCCATCACTGTGGCCGCCATCCTGGTTCAGGCCTCCATCCCCTCTGCCACCTGTGGGTCCTCCTGTCCGTCCGGTCCATCCCCAAGCAGGGACCCGCCCTGCAGCTGGACCACAGTGCCCCTACTTAGGAAGCTTGTCACGGGGCTTGCACTAGGTGCCCTCTCAGTGTGTGTGTGCACCTCATTGATGTCACAGGCCTGTGAAGTAGGGACCAGTCTTCCTTTTGTTCAGGGACTCAGTAAGTACCCAAGGTCACTGAGCTGGAAAGTGTCACATTTCTAACGGAACTGGTCTGACAGCAGAGCCCACAGGCTTACCTTGACCTGCCTGGAGGAGGCCTGCTGTGGGGTTCGTGGGGTTCGTGGGGTTCGTGGGTCGGCCTCATCTTGTCCTCGTGTGCCCGCTCTGGTCTCTTGTCACTCCTCTGAGTTGCTGGCTCTAGCCGTGAGCACACTTCCTCAGACGCCCTGCTCTGTCCTGCCTGGGCCTTGAGCACCACGTCCCTCTGCTCAGATGGGCTCTTCCCTTTGAAGCCCACCTCTCATGTCACTGCTGTGAACTTTGTAATTTTTGTGTCACTTATGGTTAGTGCTGTGCCTGGAACATACTAATGCTGAATAAAATGTTTGCCTTAATATTTAAATAAGTGAAAAATCCCTGGGCCCTTAGATTCAAGTGCCATATCACTAACCATTCAAATAGAATATATATGTTTTCATTTCCTACTTTTGTTACTTGAGAAGTACCTTTTATCAGCTTTATATTTTCTAGATCGTGCCATGTACTACTCTTGTTTCTATTTATATTTCTAGAGAATTAACAAATCAAATTAATGCAAGGTAGCTAGATGATTAGAAAAATCAAAGGAAAACAAATAAGGGAATTCTTAAATATAACATGATATGTCCTACAAAGATGTCAGAGAGGAGGCTCAGGTTAATCAGTGAAGTAGTGAATGCTCAGATTTTAACAATAGCTGAAAAACTGCTTCTGAAAATGATCCTCACTAACACGGACAACCACACGGAAGGGAGAAGGTCTGTCAATACATGAGGAATATTATTATCCAGCTGAGACCTTTAAGAATATAGTTTTTCAATTTTTAGATGAAAACTAGATTTCAGTAATAAAAATTTAAGCAGGAAGCATCTTTTTTTTTTTTTTAAAGATTTTATTTATTTATTAGAGAGAGAGAGTGCACACAAGCAGGGGGAGCGGAAGCCATAGGGAGAGGGAGAAGCAGGCTCCCCAAGAGCAAGGAGCCCGATGTGGAACTCCATCCCAGGACCCTGAGATCATGACCTGAGCCAAAGGCAGACGCTTAACTGACTGAGCCATCCAGGCGCCCCTAAGCAGGAAGCATTTCAAATGTTATTCTGGTTCAGTTTCTTTATTTTAAGTAGGAAGACATTGAGTTCTTTTGTATAGGACTCGGGAGAAGGAGGTGTTTGTGTGGGGTGGGGGGGGTGGATGATCATGCATCTTTCCTCACAGTCATAAATGATACACTTCTGACTTTGATAGCTTGTAGTGTAGTTTTGGTAAGTTTTGAAGTGGTTTCCTATGTGGGGCACATAGAAATTAAACTGACCAAAGATACTTGGAAATCAAGTAAAGGATCTATGGAAGAAAAGTACCAACTACTCAGTTTTTTCCAGAAGAGTTTAGGGTACAAAGGGAAGTTTGAGAAGAGTGACTCATTCTTGGAACACATTAAAGCTATTACCTATAGGTGTCTGAGATCTACGTGTGACGTGACAGTCAGCTCTCGTAAATCACTTGAAGATGCTCGGCAGTGAGGGTGACCCTTAGAACATGGCCGTTTGAACTGGGAACTCCCAGGGCTGCAATGGCGAGAATGTGTTCCTGGTCCTGGGTTTGTCGCTGCCGGCTGAGAGGCCTTTGGGTTTGGCTCAGCCCTAAACCGTCTGTGACTTTTTGCCATCCCCACCCCCATTGAGATGTCCAGTCCTGCTTCAGGATGTTTGGAACCCCTCCCTGGACTGCTCGAGCAGTGCCTTTGTACTTCTCTCCCACACGAATTCCCTCCCACATTTTCCAGTTACATTAGCATACTGGTTTTTGAAATTAGGTATCGATTCAATGATAGAAGTGGTAGTTCAGTGCAATTAGATGTTTTATTGAAGGCCATGTGGTCTGACTTGCAGGACTGGAGGCAGATTCCTCATGTGCATCTTGAATGAGAAAAGAAGGAAAGTTAAAACAAACCATCTTAAAAGGAGAACGCACATCCCACTTTGCTTTCTCAGTTCAGCATGAGCGAGCCAGCTGGCCTAGACCTCGGGTACCCTTGCCTGGACCCCGTCAGTCCTTGACAGATGTGCCTGCATGCCAGTCCAGACCCCAGCCCGTTTCTCCCCACATAGGAGCCCTCCTGCCTGGTCCACCTTCCAAGTGCGCCTCTGTCTGTGGCCTTTCTGTCTGGGAGTCGTTGTGGGTGATGCGAATCTCATCCCTACATGATGGATTGATTTCTAGCCCCTCAGACCTAGCCATGATTGCTTGCACTCTTCAGAAAACCGTTGAGACTTGTACGTGCCAGTTAGATGACCATCTGTAGGACTGACCAGGGCAGTGTGAGGAACAGGGATCTCACTGTATCTACCAGGAGAGAAGTGGATCGTAAACAGATGTTTGTGTACATATGGGAATGAATACCCTTTAAAATCATGAAACTACATTATGGAAGTTTGGGATAAATACTCATAATTCCACCACCAAACCCAATGATCCTTGTCAGCTTTGATAACTTATTTTTCATCTTTCTTTTACGTTTTAAACAGCTATAGCCATGTTACACATACAATTTGTAATTTTTTAGTTAATATTACAAGCTCTTTTCATGTTTTTGTTCTTGAAATCATGGTCTTTAACGTGAGCTCCAAAATTGAGAACATGTTTGACCATCTTTGAAGCGTAATGGAAGACCCCCTAGCCCCACCCCGCGTCAGCCACTATTGCCCCCACACCCACTGCAGGTGTCTCCACAGGGACAAGTCCACTGCCGGTGAAATAGCAGAGTTCCCCCGCGGTGCTTGGTGCCCGCACATGCTGCCCGCGGGTGGTGTAGTGGCGCCACTCGCTCTGATCGCCGTCCTGGAAAGGCCTCCCAGGATGCAGCCACAGAGTTCCAGATGCCTCTGTTCCTTGCAGACAGCTGGAACAGCGTTCATCTGTTTTCCACATTCTCCTGTCCAAAGATGAGTCACTTCCGCCTTCAGTCCAGTTGGGGTTTTCTCTCTTGACTTTTTTTCATAAATCCTAATATTATTCAGTCCTGGGACATTTAGGTGCACTTTGCTGTCCTGTGGCCAGGGAAAATGCCGACTACATTTTTCTGTGTTCATTGACTTCGTATGTTCTATTGTTTAAAAAGGGGGAAGATCTAGGTTAGAGTGATGTCATTGTGGGTCAGTTTTTAAAAAATGCCTATTGGGAAAATGTAAAAGCTGTTTATTTGCTGACAGTCTGATGGAGGAGGCCAGACAGGAACAGCGAGTGGTTTCACTGAGTGCAAATAGGGAGGTGTGCAACCTCGAAATGTGTGTTCTTTGTTTTGCCAGAAAGGAAACACTTTTTTTTTTTTTAAGTAATTCCTTCCTGTAAGGTGCTATTTTAAGCTTAAAATAGTTCAAACCGAATGGCTTCTCGTATCTCCCGAGATGCATATCAACCCTGATGCCACTTTACAAAATTAGGGAGGCCTCAGAGAGAACCGTTTAGCAGGTAAAGGGTCTTCTCTGAAACAGCCAGTAACCTCTGCGAGTGAGGACCCATCTGTCACGTTTGCTGCTCTGTTCGCAGCCCCTAGAATTTGACCTTGTGCACAGTAGGAATCTGATAGGACATGTTGGTGAGTGAACAATTGTTGGTTTTAGAGCAAGGATCGCACATTTTTCTGCTCAGATCCAGATAGTAAATATTTTTGGCTTCGGGAGGCATGGGGTCTCTGGCACAACGGCTGGGCTCTGCTGTCGTGGGGTGGAGGGCAGCCACTGACAGTATGTAAACAAAAGGCGTGGCTGCATGCCAACGAAGCTGTTTACACAAGCAGGCCCAGGGCAGCCTGCAGTTGGCCAGCCCCGCTTAGACCCGTGCTGTCCAGTGGAAGTCTCTGTGATGACCGAATGTTCTGTGTACTGCACAGCATGGCAGCCACTAGCCCCATCTGGCTGTGGAGCACTTAGGATGGGATTACTGCAACCAAAGAAGTGGATTTTTTATTCTGTTCAGTTGTAATTAATACAAATGTAAATAGTCACATGTGGTTAGTTGCTGCGGTGTTGGGCGTTGCAAGGTTAGAACCTTCCCCGAAGCACGTTGCACAGAGTGGTTTGTTGTTCTGTGGGAGGCCTGTACACGGGAGGGGAAGAAAGAGTTCTGTAGCCCCCCAAACTGGGGAATTGTTAATAAGAATAGACTGGTTCATTTCAGGACTGCTCAGAGCCTTTAATATTCTAATGTACAAGACAGTCTACCAGAAAGTCTTAGATTTTTTCCTCTGAGCGTTTTGACCGTGAAGCTTTCTGTGGGTGCCCTTGAACATCTTAGAGCACCGGTGTTCTTGGAGAAGACCTTGGGAGATGCCGGTGTGGCAGGCCAGGACACTGGGCGTCTGCAGGACATGGAGCTTAATAGTTTCAGAGGTTCTGTTAAGTGTTTCCCCTTGGACAGTTAGGTTTGAAAGGTCTGTGGAAGTCCCCGTAGTCCATGGCCACGGGCTCTCTGGGACCGTGAAAACTGACATGGAGGAAGACGTGTGTAACACGCACTGAAGCCCCTCGTCTGTCGTGGACTCTACTCGTTCACTGCATAGGGGGGTGACTAGACTGTCCGTGTCTGCAGACAACATAGACGCTCCAGGAATCCGTCCCGTTAACACTTGAGAAACATTCTCATTTGAATTGGAAACAGGACGTGCACACCTCCGTGTGGTTTGGGAGTTTGGAACCTGCATCACGTTTGTAAGTGGCTGTTTTATCTTGAGCAGATGTTTGTGCTCCAGATATTTGCATTTTCAAACTGTAGTTTGTGCATAAGAACTTAACTGTACCCTTTTGGTTCTGAGGAGACACAGGATGCAGCCCCGTGAGTTCGAGGGCAGAGAGGGGCTGCCGCGCGGGGGCTGGGGCCGTGCTTTGTCCCCTGCGGCGCTGGTGCTGGGCCGCTGCGGCCCCAGACTCCCCGTTCTGCTCTCCAGAGGCAGCACTAGGAGCCTTCCGTGCTGCCTTGACTACCGCCAGCTGGGCCCTGTCACAGGACCGTGACACCGTCACAGCCGACAATGTGGAATTTTTCCGAAGTCGGAGCAGATCCTACCACATCTGCCCTCATAATTGGGGTCTGTACCCTCGTGCATTCCCATCAACTCCTGTTCTCTTTCCAAGGACCGTTCTCTTCCTTTTCTATGATTTGTTTTCATGTTTGGCCTTTTTTTTTTTCTGTTCCGCTTTTAAATTCCCCTCTGTTCCCGAGTGTGACAGCGTTCTGCTTTCCTCTTCAGCCCTTCCTCCCAGGCGAGCACTCGGCAGAGGAGAGCACGTGGCGCTGGCGTCCAAAGCCTCGTTTTGAAAATTGCTAAAATATCAAATGCTAACTAATATGTGCCCCAAGGTTTTATTTCATTTTTATAATTTTGTTTGTTGTTGTTGTTGTTTTTTGCTTTTACAGTGAGTGTTGAAAAGATAGACCTGAAGGGATTATCTCACAAAAAAAGTGAAAGAAATGTTGAATGTTCCTTTGAGGTAAGATGCCAAGTTTTTTTTCCCTTTTCTCCTCTAAGGGGTAGGAAGGAAACATTTGCCATGAGTAGATACTTAGCTTGATCTAAATGGAAGATGGGCTGTACCAATGCTGTGGGAGGCAGAAAGCCGGGCCTGGGCCACGGGCGGGCAGTCTCCTGAGAGCCTGTGTGCTGAGCGTTGTCTAGACTGGCGTGCTCGGCTGCTGCTGCTTGGTCACCAAAGTTGGCTGACACAGGGACACCGTGTGAAAATTGAGACACACTGCATATTAGGATTGGAGGCCCCCAGGAACTGTGGCTCAGCGGCCTCACAGTGTGCTGGGAGCTGTGCCCCATGAGGTCCTTGGGGGCCTGGGCTCCCCCCAGTTGACTGCCTTGATATCCCTGGGGTGTGCGCCCTCAGCCTCATGGTCCAGGGTAGTAGCCAGGGCCCTAGTCCTCACGTTTTCATTCCAGGTAGCAAGACACAGGATGAAGAGGAGGGAAAACTTTACTTCTCTCTCTCTTTTAAGGAAAATTCTGAAAGCGGCCACTAGACATTTCCACTTATGTTTTGTTGACCCAAACTTAGTTTCTTGGTCCTGCTTAGCTGCAGAGGAGGCTAGGAAATGTGTTCTGGCTGGCCATATCCCCAGGGTTCTGTTACTTGGCTGTCATGTTGTGTGAGGTTCTCCTTTGACCATGTGCCTGAACACTGATTACTAGGGAGTGTTCTCAGGAATAAAAGCTTCTGGTTCGTATCTAGTTTGTATGCTCTGATGCTGTGTGTGGTTCACTAACTTTTCAGAGGGTATAGCTGCATCGAAATACTTTAAATAGTCTCACCACTAAAAGGATAACATCTTCATTTGATTCAGAGGGTGTACTACATTGTGAGAATCCCTTGTTTGGCTATGCATGTGTCTTCAGAATGTTCAGGAAAGACTCACCTAAGGTTTTGGAGGCTGTTGAAACTTGTGACCAGCACCCAGGTCTCAGTACCCAGAGAACCTTGGAATCCCAGCATCTTCAAGGCCTCGTAGAGGTGGGAGCCTAGCAGGTCCCTAGAGCCCTGAGCATGTTGTTTTCCCTCCGCCACGCTGTGTCTCATGGCCGGACCTCCCCTCGAGATCATCCGCCTCCACACGGCTGAGCCTTTCTGGGGGAGTGGGCCCCACTCAGCCCGTCCTCGGGCCCACAGCCTGGGCTTGTACAGTGTGAGATGTGACTATGGCTGGTGTGACTGCCTGCAGCTTCTCTCTGAAGACGTGAGCTTTGGCAAAATACACACTTGGCCTCTCGTGGCCTTTCGGAGGAGATGGGAGTCCTGTTAGGAGTGGGGAGGCAACAGGCTGGTGAGGACGAGGGCACGGTGGCCTGAGTCCTCTGCAGGCAAGCTGCACAACTCCAAGAGGAGCCGGGAGCCCTGAGCTTGCGGCCCTGGACTCTGGAGTGTCCCTGGTGTCGATGCTGTCACACAGGGTGAGGTGTGTAGTTGAAGGTGTTTCTACGCCGGTGGGTGAGTGTTCTAAGACTTAAAGCAAAAGCTTTGGTTATCTGTGATTCTTACTTTTCCTGAAGTGATAACTGACAGAAGTATTCTTGTGTTTAGGAAAGTGAGAATTCCTCTCTGACCTGGAAGTCCAAACTAGTTTTTCTTTTGGGGTTTTTTTTTTTTTTTTTTTTTTACGATTTTATTTACTTGAGAGAGTGAATGAGTGGGAGGAGGGGCAGAGGGAGAGAGAGATGGAATTTCAAGCCGACTCGTGCTCAGCACGGAGCCAGACATGGGCTCAGTCCCTGAGATCATGACCTGAGCTGAAATCAAGAGTCAAGACGCTTAACTGACTGAGCCACCCAGGCGCCCCTGGGGGTACTAACTCGATATGCCCTGAGGGACTTCCAGCCCAAACTGTGCTGGTTGAATGGTAACTCGAGGCACAAAGGAAAGATAGGATCAATGTCAAAAAAATTTTTTTTTTGACCTTGTTACTCCAAAACACTGTTCATTTGCACAGCTTCAGCTGTGTGCTCGTTTTGCGCAGGGCTGGTAGGGTGCTGCTGCCGGCTGTCATGCACATGTCAGGCTGGAGACTTGTGTCACGCGAGGGAGGCTGTGCACCTTCGGGAGTGTAAGCGCAGGGGCTCCCGCCAGCGCCACGCTCCGGAGAGAGGAGAGCGGAGGGTGGGCGGCCCGAGGACAGTGGCGAGCCCACCTAACTACTCACCTGCTATCATTGCAAATGACTAGCCTCAAAAATAAGCCCCAGCAGGATTTTTCTGTCTTAGAAATCAACAAGCTAGCCCTAAAACGTATATGGAAAGAACAACAGAGTAGTCAGACAGTTTTGAGAAGAAGAATAAAGTTGGAAGCTGCACACTGCCTGTCTTGGAGACTCGCCGTTAGACTACAGGGACACTGGCGCGTGGGGTCGCCATGAGCATGGGGGCACTGGTCAGCAGGTCGGAGCACAGAGTCCAGAGTTAGACTCACGGCTCAGTGGCCGATTGACAGGCCAGCAGTTCCCGTGAAGAAAGGACAGTCATTTCAACAAATGGCTCCAGAACCCTTGACCAAACCTCTCACCTCACATAGAAAACTAAGTCAAAACTGTTCATAGCCCTGTGTACAACCTAAACCAATAAAAGTTCTGGAAGAGAGCCTACAAGACTGTGTGGCTAGGCAAGGATTTCTTTGCTACGGCACCAAGAACATGATCCGTGAAAGACAAAATGAATACGAGAGACTTGATCAGAGTGTCGAACTTGCTCCTGGAAAGGCACCCTGCGGGTGAGGAGATGGCTTAAAAGGATGCAGACTAGGAGATATTTGCACATTACATATTCGGTAGATAGTTTTCATCCCAAATAGATAAAGGACTCTCAACACTCAGTAATAAGAGAGCAACCCAATAAAAAATGAGCCAAAGATTTGAACTGACGTTCGGAGGGTGAATATCCCACATGAGCAGATGTCCGGCCCCACCGGTCATTAGGACAGTGACCATTAGAGCCACAGGGAGGTGGCTCTCTGTGCCTGCAGCACGGCCACAGCTGGAGACAGAGGTGCGCAGCAGAGCTGGGACTCTCCCCAGCAGCTGGAGCATGTGCTCAGGGCTACGGCCTCTTTGCAAGGCTCTCTGGCAGTTTTATAAAGAGCTACACATTTCCCTAAAGTATGACCCATCAGTTCTACCACTAGGTATTAACCCACGGGAAAGGAAAGCATTTGATAACAGAGATTTGTACGTGAGTGTTCACACCAGCTTGATATGGCAGACCACCCTGAGTGTCCGTCCACAGGAGAATGGATGAACCCATGGTGGTTTTGGAAACACTGTGGAAGACCACCCATAGTGGAAAGGACTGAGCTATTGTTAACACTAGCAACGTGGAGAAAACTCAGATAATTATGCTGTGTGAAAAAAACCAGACCCTTTGCTACAAAGGATATATGGTGTGAGTCCATTTACATAAAATTGTAGGAAATACCAACTGTCTTACAGTGAGAGAAGGCACACAGCGGCTTCCTGGGGAGAGGAGGAAGGAACATTTGGGGGTGATGGACATGTTCGTGGTATTGATGGGAGTGATGGTTTCCTGGATGTAAACATATGCCCAGACTTAGCACATTATGCCCTTTGGATAGGCGTGGTTTATCGTCCTTTAGCACTCAGTACAACTTTAAAAAAAAAAAAAAAGGTCACCTGAGGATTAAGCCTTTTCTTTTGTCCACAGAACCCTAACTAATGAAGATTAAATAAATTGTCCTTTAAATAAGGTGTCTCTTGTATGTGGAAGTAAACAGCTACCGTACCGGGATCAGAGCCATCGAGCGCCTTCTAGAAGCGCCGGCCGTCCTGGGCCGCGATGGGACGGCTGTGCTGGCCAGAGAGGGAGACGCAGAGAACCCTCTCTCCTGCTGGCCTCCCTGGCTCCGGAGGGGCAGGTGGCCTCTGCCCACCGTTTCCTCGGTCCTGTTTATCTCTAGTTTCACTTTTTATGGATCAGTGTTTTCCAGGGGTACAAATGAAAGACTTCTTTTATAGGAAAGCCTATGTAGCTGAAGGGAGATGCTTCTAGTATGTAAACATGTACTGCAAATAGGAGTCTGCGCTTCCTGTTCTTTTCCATGGGGTTGGTTGTGTTTTTACTGGAGTCGGAGCTGCTCCGAACTGGTTCCTGAGGAGCCACATCAGGGCGCAGGAAGCCAGAGGCTGCACACAGAGTCAGCGTGCAAGTACGCGCATGTGGAGTGTCCAGATGTTACCAGTTTTCCCAGATTCACTGTTGAAAAACTGGAATGAGTAAAATTTTTTTTAGTAAAATGATTTCCTGTATCAAAGTGAAGGATAGAGAGGGAAAATACCAGAGGATGTCCCAAACCCTTGAAGCACCTCCTAGACTGTAGAATTTCAGCAACTTAGAAAGAACTGGAGAACAGCGCTAATCAAAACCATTCTTTCTGAAGGACCCAGGCATTGCATTTACTTTAGTGCTCTATCTTTTCCTTGAAAGTTTTATTTTTTCATTTCAAAATAATCTTAACTGCTTTGAATATCTTATTGCCATATTAGCAAAGATGAATCTTGACAACTATTCTTTTAATTTAGTTTTTGTTTTCATCAGCTGTTCTTGCGGAATTGAGAGTCCAGTAATCCTGCGAACATTGCCAAGAGAGCAGGAAACTGTTTTGACGCGCATGTTCGTGTGACTGCGTGAGGGTTGCTGATCCTGGAGCCACATGGTGCATGCTCAGGGCTTTCCCTCGAGTCGTCTCTTTGTGTTTGCTGGTTTGTTTTTTGCTTAGGGACAAGTTCTTAGAAGTGACTTCACTCCAAAAGTCCTGTGATTGTCTGAAAGTCCCCCCGTTGTGCTCAGACAGGCCCGGCGCCCTGTGGTTCTGCTGCCACGTGGACCCGATAGCCCTTGGTGGGCCCCAGCTCTCCCCTTCATCCCCACCCGCACGGCCCCTCCCTCCTTACAGGCGCCATCCCCTGTTCTCGGGTCTTCTGTCACCCTCTGTCTGGTAGCTTCTTAGAAAGGGCACTTGGGAGGTCCTGCTTCTGGGGCCTTCCGTGTCTGGACCGGCCTCCCCCCCGCCCCCGACGTGTGACTGAGAACACAGGCGGAGGCTGGGCGTCGCTCTTCCTCAGGGATCCGATGCTCTGCTGGCTTCCTGCCTCCTGGTCCTGAGCTCTGGCACTTTGGACGGTTTCCTCAGTCCTGGGTGTTTGCACACCGCTCACCCATGCTTGGCTGTGGGTCTGTTTTCATCAGTGTGCTGGCACTCAGTGGGCCCTTTTAACTTGAAAACTCACATCCATAATCTGGGGGCCCTGTCCTGAATCTTCCCTTTTGGTTTCCTCTGCTCTGTGTTTCTCTGTTTGCTTGCTTTGGAACTCCAGCTGTCTGCATATTGCACCTCATATTGGCCTGGTCCTTTGTTTGATTTTTTTCTCTGTTTTCTCTCCTTTTGATATTTCGATCTACTCGAGTGAGGACTGTGTCATCTCTCCCCTTCATCAGTGGGGTTTTTCACTCCTGTCCTGGTTTTAATTTCAAAGAATACTTGTTCTCTGACAATTCTTTTTTCATAGCATCCTGTTCTTGGCTGTGCTTTTCTTCTCTTAGATCACTGAGAATATTAATGATAGTTTTTAGTTTTTTAAAACTATGGTCTGTGTTTCAGCCTGGCTGCCTTGAGCTCTTTGAGGCCGGTGCTGGATGTTCTGGTGCTGGGCCGCCGGCTCACGTCTGTGGTGTGGCAGGAGCTGTGGGCAGGGCCTCTGGGCTGGGCTGCTCCCTGGGCAGAGAGAACACTCTGCTCCACGTGCTCCAGAGTAGACTGCTGTGGGTGACCCGGGGACATTGGGGATGGAGCCGACAAGTGAGTCAGAGGACTGAGATGCAGTGTGACGTAGTCCTAAGTATCTGTTTTGTGCATGTTTTGCTTTTTGTGTACGCTTAGGGTATTTTACGGTATGGCTTAGTGAGGCTGTGTAACTCTTCAAACAGGTGCAAGTGACAGGAAACCACACTGCCATCATTTACTCGGCAACTTTTTCTTGGTGGTACGTAACATAACGGGGTAGCTTAACAGTTGGTGCCGCCTTGGGTTTGATGGGACACGTGTGTAGCATGTAGTACGCCGTGAGGCTCTTCTGTGTCCAGGCTCCTCCTGGGGCCTGTCCCCTTCTCTGGTGCAGGTGCCTGGCCTGGCGGGTGAGGCCGAGGGTGAGTGTGAGGAAGCCTGTGCCCGCTGCAGAGAGTGGTGCTGCTGAGGGCATCCTGGGAGTGAGCCCTTGCTTTCTGTCTGCTTAGACTGAAGGTTGGAAGGAAAAGTAAAGCATCGGGAGCTGACGGCCTGTAGTGATGGTGCCTGTTGAAAGCACATCGTTGTTGGGGAAGCAGATTGTCTGTTTCAACATAGCATGTTATGTCTGTGCTGCACGTGTAGCTTGGGCGTTGGAGTTCTTGTTTTTGTGGGCTTTAAGATGCGTTCATGCCATGTGGATGTGGACGGGAAGAGAATCGGGTTTTGATCTTGGTTTAAGAGTCACAGGGAAAACAAAAATCCTCCACCACGTGCTGCACTGTGACCAGCACAAGATGTCAGCAGTGCTTGGGGTCCAGCATCTAAAGACCAGAAAGTTTCTGCCTTTAATCCTAGATGGTTGCTGGGGTTTCCTTGGGTAGCAGCTTGCTCCAACCTTGTGTTCAGTGCTGTCGGTGAGATTTGTCTCCAACAAAAGCAGGTTGGGGTCTGCAACTTGGTGCGGGTCCATTTGGGCAGCGAGGCATGTTCATTCAAGGAGCACCAGCACCTGCTGCATCAGTGAGCCCCCAGGTGCCCCGAACTCAGAGATTGGGGAGGATCTCCTTTCCTCCGCTGGCTTGTGTTTCCCGGGAACTCAAGGAGACGGCCACCTTGGTAGTTGTTTCGTGGTGCGGCAGCTGTGACGGACGGAAGGGACGCGTGTGGGGTTCAGCAGAGGAAAGGGGATGTGGGGTCCATCGGCAGCCACAGTAGGCTGTTTCTCAGAAGGCGCGGACGGGTGGCGGGAGCAGAGGGGTCTTCCAAACTGCCACGCTCCGTCTGCTCCATTACTGTGAATACAGCGCTTTCTTTTTGGTCGTTTTACTTCGTGACTTGAGGCCCTCTGGTGGCTTCTTCTGGATCTGAGGGCCAAGTTCCTGCTTCCCGGTCTCACCCTTCTGGTGGCCCTCCCGCCTCACACCTCCCTGCTCGCCTCTTGCTGCAGTGGATTCCCTGCTTCCCTGCCCTGCTCCCGTGTCTGAGTACGGCGTGCCCCCCACCAGTCCTCAGCGCCCCCAGGGGGTCAGGAAACACTGGAGAAGCAGCGGGAGGATGGAGGGAGGAGACCTTCCCCCAGGACGTCTGCAGGCTGTCATCTAGGGGGACTGCCTGGGACGCGGTGATGACGCGAGGCCGCCCACCCGCCACACGCAGCGCGGAAACGCCGCCGTGTGCTCGGGTCTCGGGCACGCCCAGCGCTGTAGGGCTGCTTGCAGAGAGCCCTTCCTGCTGCTCTCTCCAAAAGGTTTCCGCCCCAGCCTGCACCCCAGCCACTCCCTGGGTGCTGACTGCCCTGGCCCCCATTCTGTCAGGTTCCTGAGGGTGGGGGCCTTGTCTCATTTTCAGCAGCAAGGAGGTCCCCTTGAGGATGGTGTGCCCTGGCACACACAAGCAGTCGTGATTGTCGGTGACTGCATACAAGTTTGCGGAGCAAGCCTCAGACTCCATGCTTGAGTAATTTGGTGATATTTGAATAATTGCACAAAACAGGAAGCAAAGCCTTAAAGGACTTGAGTTATGTGAACTTTTCTCTCACGAGTCGGGGGATGTGTAACTACCCCATTTAGCAGGTGCACCACACTTAGGGCTTAGCACACTCACTGCACCTGTGCCCGTGAAGACTCCCTGGACAGGTGTGTTGTGAGGGACGTACGTGGCGTCTGTTTTTAAGGTTTGTTTGTTTGTTTGTTTTTAAGGTCTTGTGGTCTGATTCTTCAGTAACATCAGTAACCAAATCTTCCTCTGAAGTGACTGAATTTATTTCAAAGGTAAGGTGATTAAGGGCTCTTATAAAAATTAAAAGGCTCTCGATAATATTGCAGAGTGATTTCAGTGGATTGCTTCCTTCAGCTGGCAGAGCAGGTAATTCGTGCATGACCATAAAAACATGGTCCTCGATGCCACGATCCACGCTCCTTGCAGTTGTTGAGAATGAGAAGAGGCAGGACGCTGTGACCTGCACAGGCGGCTGAAGGGTGTTTGCTTCGGTTACTCTGCAGAGAGACTGAGAGAGAGTCCAGTCCCAGCTCGATCTGTTGGACATACTGGGTTTTCCTCTTCATTTTCTGATTGCTTCAACAAACGTCATCCAAACAAAAGGTTCCACTACTGACTAAATACCACTTTGCCTACATAGACGTGTGTCCATACACACACACACCTCCACGGTTACAGTGTGTTTGCAGTCCACTGGCCCGGGCCACTGCAGTGAACCGCTGTCGCTAGCCAAAGCATCTTAATTAGTCCCCTTTGTCTCATGGAGTGTGACATATCAAAAGTGTCTCCAAAGCGAGTCTTAACGTTTTCACTATAAAATAAAGGATGTGATCCTGCAGGAGAAAATGCAGTGCATGGATCCTGTTGACAAGCCTGGACAGAAGTTGTCTGCTCACGCCTGTCCTCTGGGCCTGTCAGCCATGCTTTCTGGGGTTACCGGCCCCCTTGGAATTCCCATTTTCATCCGTGACCCTGAGAATGCTACATTTCCTCTCCCGCGTGCCTAGCCTCTCGTTTGTAGAACACCCGTTTCTCTGGACTGCGCTAACGCTGGCGCAAACTTTAACCCCACTGGGTGCTGACAGTGCTTCATGTTCACCTGGCTGTGTGTTCTCTGACCTTCCTGGATACCTGGTTTATTGTCTCTTGTTAATTTTGGAGAATTCTTCCCCATTATCTCTTCAGATATTTCTTCTGCCCCCCCCCCCCCACCTTTGGACTTGAACTCCGTGCACCTGGACCTTTGACGTTGTCCACAGCTCTCGGGTGCCGTTTTTGTTTTTCTTGCTCCTTTCGTTGTGTGTCTCGGTCACACGATGTCCCTTGCCCTGTTCTCAGGCTCCCCGACGTCCAGTCCGCAGCTCTGCCCAGGCTGCCGCTGAGCCTGTTTTATGTGCCGAGTTCTTCATCTCTGGGACCATGGTTTTCTATTGTTCTGATTTCTTGTTTTTCCTAGCTTTTCCATTTGACAACATCTTTTAGTAAAGTTTCCATCTCTCTGCTGAGATTTCCCATTTGTTGTCATGCATGTCCATTTTTTCACTAAATCTTTCAGTATGTTAACCGTAGTTGTTTTATAATCCCTATCTAATAGTTCCAACATCCAGTTATCTCTGAGTTTGGCTCTGATGTTTATCTTCACAATAGTTTTCATTCCCTTATTATTTTTTTTTCGTGTATCTTGTAATTTTTGATGGAATATTAGACATCATGTTTAGAAAATGTAGAGACTGAGGGAAACAGTGTATCTGCCCTGAAATGGGCATGCTGCCGTTTCTCTCAGGCCCTCAGTGGGGTCCTCGATTTGGTCCGATCAGGAGTTGAGCTGGGTTTGGGTTTTGTTGCTGCTAGAGTTACCTCCAGTACACCTGTGGACTTCAGGTTCTTCTGGTGGAAGGTGGTTGTCACCTTGAGCCTGGGGAGAAGTGTCAGAAGTTCCTCTCAGTGGTCTGGCTTCACCCTTGGCGCTCAGCAGTCCTATGTGTCTGTGGCCCGGAGGGGCTCTCCCTGATCTGTTGACACACACCCCGCCCCACCCCCACCCCTGCCCGGGGGAGACTGCGGTTACTTGTTGCCTGGTGACAGACTTGTGGTGGGGGGTGAGGTGTTCTCTGTGCTGCTGGTCCAGCCTCAGTCCCAGGCACATGGCCCTTGGGGGCTTTCTCGGCACCCCTGCCCCTTTCCTCCCCAGCAGCAGCTGACCTCATCTTTGTACTGGTGCGGTACCCTCAGCCCAAGAGGGCTTTTGCCCCTTCCTCAGGGCCAGCGGGCTGTGCCTGCACCTTCCCCCAGAAGCAGGGCATCTTTGCCCGGGACCGGGTGCTGGGAGGACTCCCTCCCCTCCCGCGGAGGCAGGACAGTAGTGCTCCTGCCTCATCCCCAGAAACAGAGGGTCTGCCTGGGCTCTGGGAGCAGGAGCAGTCTTGTCCCTCCCCCAGGGGCTTAAGGGCTTTCTCTTTGGATTTAGAGAAGGCTCCAGGGAAGTCCTAGGGTTCCTGCCGGGCCCCCAGGGGCAGCCAGCCCCCACCTCTGCTGCCTTGGAGGCTCTCTCCAGTCTCCTGTGGAAGCAAGCTTGGGAAGGAGGGCACACTCCCCTTGTGTCTGGGCTCTTGGCTGACCAATGTCTGGCCCACACTCAGCCCACGGGAAGTGTCCATCTTCTGACTCTTCTGCCTGCTGGCATGGCGGCTACCTCTTCCTCGTGTTCTGCCACAGCAGAGACGGGTCACGTGTCTTGTCTCTCCTTGCTTGGAGGGGCAGGCCCTCTTGAAATTCAGTTCACGTGGTGACCTTGCAACTGAGTTCCCTATGGGCTCACGGATAGGTATGATCGTGTTGGTTTTGGAGGTTTTTACCGATGTCGTGGTGGGAGTGATTTTTTTTTGTGGCTTTCCCCATTCTAAGTGGAAGTAGAGCCCCAGAGAGCTGAGAGCAAGGTGGGTTGTAGTGTCCTGCAGGTGTCAGCGTCTAGTGCCTGCCCATCTCTCAACCGGAAGAGGCCCGTGTCAGGTGAATTTTGACAGACGTCCAATGCTTTTCCATCTCTTTCAGTTACCCCAGCTGTACCCTGAAGAAAATCTGGAGAAGTTCATTCCTTGCTTAGCTGGCCCAGATTCCTTTTATGTAGAGCGAAACCACATGGATCTGGAAGCGGACCTGAGGTAAGGCTGCCCCGCACCTGCAGGCCAGGGACGCAGCCCCAGCAGTGGCCCTGTGGGGCCCGCCCGTGTGGCGATGTGTGGCGTGGCCAGAGCGGGCTGGGTGCACACCGGAGCTGCCTGGTCATCCCAGTGGTCTGGGTCTCTGTGTCGTCCCTGGGATTTTCATCAGTTATGGAGAATTTGGTGGAGTTAGTAACAGAGGCATGATTTTGAGGATATGAGTAAAGGAGTTTCATAGTACGTGCCACTGCTTCATGTGATGTTGACAGTCTGAGGAAATGAAATCCAGTTACTGTTTCTGTCCCGTAGTGGAAAGTTGAGACTGTTGCAGGACAAAACTAGGGCCCGGTACAGTCCCGTAAGCTCGTGTCTCCCGGCCGTTGAGCACACCCTGGATGGGTCAGCGGGCAGAGGGGGCAGGCCTGCTTGCTGGGTCCGGGCCGGCATCCTGGCACCAGTGACTCGGGTGCAGCCCAGTCGCCGCACGCTGCGGGAGACTGCGGCGGGCCCGACTGTGCTCTCGTGCTGGCCCGCTGCCCCCACCGTGGTGTGAGGTGGTGGGTGTGGGGGAGGGGCTCAGGGAAGCCATAGCAACCAGACAAGAATGGAATCGAAGCAGGGAGAAGACGGGCGTTGTGGCGCGTCGGGTTACTTTTTTCCTCGCAGGGGTATTTCTCTTAACTGAAAATTAAAATTTCACTCTGAGTTAGTTTTTGGTAATAACCATTTTAATGCTGATAAAACCACTTTGTTTAATTTTTAGGTATTTGGCTTCATTACCTTCTCACGTGTTAAAAAATGACCACGTTAAGAAATTTTTCAGCACTTCATCTCCCACCCAACAGCTTCAAAGTCCAAGTGAGTTTGTGAAACGTGATTACGTAAGGATAAAAACATCTTTATTGTCTGTAACCCTTCTGACATTTATCTTACCTCGCAGGTCCTGGCACCCCTTCCCTCTCTAAAGTGGGTACCATGATGGGCGTGTCTGGAAGGTGAGGCATCTGGAACCAGCACGTTTCACATCCGCATAGAGGTTACTTCTGCCTGTGTATAAATGTTTGTAGAGTGAAGTCATTTTTGGTCTTAGTCTTGAATAATATTGTGAGGGGATTTGGATAGAGATACTCCAGTTTACGATTTCTCCATGTAAAAAAAGAAGTGGTCCTCTGGGCCACTGGAGTTGGAATTCCCAAGGACCCTCATTGCAAACGCCGATTTCCGGGCCCTGTGCACCCTAGGACAGCAGAATTTCAGAGAATCTTCATTTTTATAAGCTCCCAGGGAGCGATTGTGCCCATGAGGTGGCAGAGCCACTGCTCCCAGGGTCCTCCACCAGCAGGAGGCCTGATGGTGGTTGTGTGACAGACAGGTGGGCCAGCGTCACAGACACTGACACACACGCACGGACGCTTGTGTGAAGAGGCAGTCAGGCGGTAAGGGCTTCCAAAGTGCTGACTTTCCCCTTTACCCCCTGCCTGCTACATACTGAGTACACCGTGAACGTGCGGGTTTGCAGTCTGGGGTGGAAGGGTCAAGGGCAGAAAGCCGAATGCGGAGCGTAGCGTTCCTTCCAGCCTGCTGCTGGGACTCCCTCTCACAGAAAGTTCATTCAAACGTTAAAGATTGAGGAGTCAGTTGTATGATTTTCAGTATCATGCTATGATTGAACAACAGAGACCGGGCAGCTCAGCCACACATGCGCATGCACAGCTGTGCCTCCTCAAGCCCGTCCACGCGGACGCACCTGTATGCACGGGTGCACGTCCATGTACATGTGCACACCCACAGAGGCCTCCGGGGGGCGGGGGGGGGGCCAGTGGCAGGAAAGGGCTCTGATGCTGGCAGTGGGCGTGGCCTCGGATGCAGCCCAGCACGTGGGAGCCGGCTTCTGCCCACTGTCCACCGTGTGTCCGGGAAGGAGGCCGTGGTCCCGGGAAGACCACCTGTCTGCTGTCCCCACAGGCCTGTGTGTGGCGTGGCCGGCATCCCCTCCTCTCAAAGCAGTGCGCAGCACCACATGCAGCACTCGGCCAGCGCGGCCACCTTGCCCCACTGCTCCCATGCGGGGGGTGCAGGCTCGGCGTTGGCCTACCGGGCCCAGATGGACAGCTCGCCCGCCATCCTGATGCCCTCCAGTCTGCAGACCCCTCAGACCCAGGAGCAGAACGGGATCTTAGACTGGCTTAGGAAGCTGCGCTTGCACAAGTACTACCCTGTCTTCAAACAGCTCACCATGGAGAAGGTATGTGGATGACCGGGCAGGCAACATAGTCCTCCTCTGACCTCATTCCTAGGGGGCTTGAGGTGGGTGTCTAGACCGTCCATGATGTGGATGTCCCGTGGCCTGCTATTCGATGCCTATATGTGTGCCTGGAGTCCTGCACGCCCACGGGGAGTGGCGGTGGATGTGGATTGGAAGGCTCCCTGCAGCCAAAGCAAAAATTCGAACAGGATTGGTTGTAAACAAACAGCTTTTTTTTTTTTTTTTTTTTAAGACAGTCTGGGGTCTTCACGTGTTAGATACTCTACATGATATGAAGGACATTGTATCCCCAGCAGCCATTTTGGAAGAAATGGTGAATTCTGGTGCGCACGCGCCCTTTGTTAGATGCCCTTCAGCCTGGGCTGTGCGTGTGCGGGAACTCAGTGCCAGAAGGGCCTGTTTTACAAGGTGCCCAAATACTTGCATCCGAGGGAGCAGCCCGCTGATGATCTGGCTTGATTGAGGGTCATACAGTTGAAAGTAATAGATGAATTTTATGTCTTTCAAGCAGTCCTACAAAGTTTTGGTTTTTTTTGTTTTGTTTTGTTTTGTTCTTAAGAGATAGAGGAGGGTGGCAGGAGGGGCAGAGGGGGAAAGAGAATCTCAAACGCCCCGCTGAACGCAGAGCCCGCCCCAGGGCTGATCTCACAACTTTGAGATCACCACCTGAGCTGAAATCAGCAGTCGGACGCCGAACCAACTAAGCCACCACCCAGGTGCCCTGGAAATTATTTTTTACAACAGAGAGTTTTGATGAGCACTTTTTTGTTGTTAAAGAAAATTCTGGAATTTCTGAAGTCTTGGTGTCACTGAGAAAACTAAATTTGACCCATGGCGGTGTTTGAGCTCTGATGCCCCTTGCTGGATACAATCACTTGGTGCTTTTATCTATATAAATATCTTATTTGTCCAAAAATCTGCAATTGAATCTAGAAATCAAGCTTTTAGTACATAATAAACCGCTTCTAAGTATATTTGTAATACTCTCGTCTTAGGATTCATAAATCCTAAAAGAACAATAGATATTGCCAACTTTGTCTCATGATCAGTTTAAAAAAGTTTTAATGTAATGTAGGAGTTGAATTTTAGCCATAAAATCACAATCCTGTTATGAAGTGTCGTGCGAACCACAGTGTTGTGTCTGCTTGGTATAAGACCCACTGGTTAATTAGCCATTCAGTTCAGGTGGCATCTGCTTTTCTGGGTCACTTGCTTCCCAACAAAGTTGCTTTGCCCCTAAAATGATGGTGATTGTGAGACAAAAGAGCTGTTAAGAGTTCTCCTTTCTGGAGGAGGATAAACGGCTTGCATTTATCTCAGGGGGTAGGTCCCTGGACAGGAGGGGGACATTTCCACAGACCCAGTCTCTGTAGAAGTGGAAACTGCAAGACATGTTCTTTAGTCACCTGCCCGCATATGCGGACCTTCCAGGTGCCCCATCTTCTCCAGGCTGTGTGCGGAAGGCCCGGTGGACGTGGCCGGTGAGCCTCATATGGAAAGTGAGCATTTTGTGTTTTGAATGAGGGACACCACATCATTTAGCAATGGACTGTTTTGGTGTTCCCAGGGCTTCTTTTTCTTTTCTTTTCTTTTTTTTTTAAGATTTTATTTATGTATTTGACAGAGTGAGCGAGAGAGAGCGAACACAAGCAGGGGGAGTGGGAGAGGGAGAAGCAGGCTCCTCTCTGAGCAGGCAGCCCAATTCTGGGCTCAATCCCAGGACCCTGGGATCATGACCTGAGCTGAAGACAGATGCCTAATGACCGAGCCACCCAGGCGCCCCTGTTCCCAAGGCTTTTATTATCCAGTTAGGTTTGATCTGTTTGTGTATGCTATTGGTAGAATACATTTATTAAGTTACACTGCAAGTTCTTTGTTTTCAGAGTCCTGTGATTCTCAATAACTTTGTAATGTGTTTCTTCTGTGCAAGTTTCTGAGCCTTACTGAGGAAGATCTAAATAAATTTGAATCCCTTACAATGGGAGCAAAGAAAAAACTCAAGACTCAGCTAGAGCTGGAGAAGTAAGTGTGAAACTGCGAAATGTCTGTTTCTTTTCATTCCTAATGTACTGAATGTGGTATCTAAATGGGGTTTCTCGATTGGATGGAGGCCCCCAAATGTGGGGTGACTATTGGGTGGCCTGGGAGGTGAAAGAGTTCACCTGAAGCGGAACAAAGGAGAGTTCATTGAGGAGAGGCTTTCAGCCAGGAGGCAGTGTGTGGGGGCTTTATTTAAAGAGGGAAGGTGAGGACGTGTGGAATCTTCCTCCTTTTTGGTAACTGTGCTGGTTTTAAGTATCTCGGTGGTCATATGGGGCCTAGGGATATTCTGAGGTGAGTCATCTCGGGGGCCTATGTTCAGCCAGGGGGTCGCTCTTAGAGCGCCTCTGCACTCAACAGGTGCTAGCTAGCACTTAGCTAAATGCCCTTGATTGGATTACTTTGATTGCTTATCAGAGCTTCATTAATGCTTTCACAGTTCTAGGATGTGGTTTGGGTGTGCTAGGAAGGGCCCTTTGCGGCGAATCCGACAAGTCAGAATGCATTGCTTTCCACCTCTGAGGGTATTTGGGGGCAGTCACCTTTGTATGGAATCTGCAGGAGAGCAGAGCTTGGGCAACAGAAAACGGTTCTCTAGCAGAAGACCTGAACGCTCACTCGTTCACGTGCTCTCTTGTGGCACAGGGAGAAGTCAGAGAAACGGTGCCTGAACCCTGCAGCCCCACCCCCGGTCACCAGCAGCGGAGTGGCCCGCGTCCCCCCCACCAGCCACGTCGGGCCCGTGCAGACCGTGCGAAGCCCCCATGCTGCAGGTGGGTGAGGGCGGGGTGGCCTTGAGGGGGGCATCGCGGGCTCCTCCTTTGGAGGATAGTTATTAGACTCCAGACCATACACAGCCTTTTGCCATTTGCTCATTTTTAGAATTTACAGTTACTGCTCATTATTTTAGCTTTCATCATTTCCACCATTAGAAAACAGAAGGGACATTTGGTTTAGAACCTAGAGACCGGTGACTCACCTGAAGTTGTTCGGGCAAAAGAATTAGATCCAGCAGCTGCACGGCCAGAGGGAAGGAGAAGGAGGTACCCCAAACAGATGAAGATACGCTTCTTCCCCAGGAGGGTGCAGACAGGTCCTTGTAGGTCCCTGCCTCGAAGGTCCGTCTTGAAACTCCCCAGGGTGTGAGAGCACAGCTTCCCCGTCGTGCAGCGCCTGGGAGCCGTGGGCCCTGGGCTCTGAGCCACCCCCCTCCGCTCCCTGCCCTTGCCTCTGCAGTCGGGGTGCCGGATGCCGGCGACGGCTGGCCCGTGGTTTCCTTTACGCTGTGGAAGTAGCAAGAATGACAGGACGCCAGGGAGAAATACATGCCAGCCTATCTTTTCAGTGGCTATTTGACTAAAAGGGTCTTCCATCCCTTGGCCTCGTAAAATGGGGTGTCCCTCAGTGTTGGGAGATGACTTCGGTAGCACCGTGGTGGCTGGGCGCCCCTTGTCGCTTCTTCTCCAAGGTTGTGAGTGGGGCCTCGGCCAGCTTGTTTTCTCCGAGTCCTGTCTGAAGCAGGAGTGACAGCAGCTGCCTCCCCGGGGCTGGTGCACGGGTCAGCAGGATGGGCGTGTGCCGAGGCGGGTGGGGAGGGCGCGGTAGACACCGGCCGGCACGACCCCTGTCGGCGCCCCTTTTCCGCAGCGCTGCGGGTAGAAGTGGAGCAGCCCCCTCACCAGACGGCCCGGGAGGGCAGCTCCTCGGAATGCTCCAGCTCCTCACCCAGCCCGATGGGGGTGCAGGCCCGGGAAGAGAGCTCGGACAGCGCCGAGGAGAACGACAGACGTAAGGACGCCCGGCCTGGGAGCGCCCTGCTGCCCCTGCCCTGGCCCGGGGCGCTGTGCTGACCGCTGTGTTTCCATCTCTAGGTGTGGAGATGCACTTGGAGGGCTCGGAGAAGGAGAAGCCTGTCATGCTACTGAACCATTTTGCTTCAAGTTCCGCCAGACCCACGGCCCAGGTTCTCCCGGTGCAGAACGAGGCAGGCTCCAGTCCAGCGGGCCACCACCCCCTCCCCCCCCAGATGATGGCCGCGGCCTCGCACCTGGCACCCATCCGGATGCTGAATTCCGTGCACAAGTCCGAAAGGGGGGGCGCGGACATGAAGCTCCTCCCGCCTTCCGTGCACTCACTGCTGTCTCTAGAAGAAAGGAGTAAACTCTCGGGACCAAGAGGCGGCATCAAAGTGGACAAGAACTTCGGCCACACCGTGATCGACGCAGCACCCACGCCCACCCCCCAGCAGCCCCTGCAGGTGCTCTCTGCACTGGCCGAGAGCAGCTCCGTGTCACCCACCGTCTCCTTCGGTCCCCGCGCCAAAGTCGTGCACACGGCTGCGCTGGACAGGGTGATGAAGCCGGCCCCGCAGCCGGCCCTGGCGGGGGAGGCGAGCACCGCTGCCGCGGGGACGTCCAGCGCCGTCTTCCACATGGCTCGGCCACCCATCAAACTTCTGGTGTCTTCATCTGTCCCTGCGGATTCTGCCATTTCTGGGCAAACTCCCTGTTCGAATAATGTGCAAATAAGCGTGCCCCCTGCAATAATAAACCCCCGGACTGCTCTGTACACCAACACCAAAGCTGCCTTCTCTGCGATGAGCAGTGTGCCCGTGGGGCCCCTGCAGGGCAGCTTCTGCGCCAGCAGCAACACTGCCTCCTCCAGCAGCCACCCGCCCACGTCCTTCGCCAGCATGGCCTCTGTGCCCAGCTGCCCGGCCCCCAGCTCCAGCCCCGCACTCTCCTCTGCCCCTGAAAGCAGCTTCTACAGCGGCGGGGGCGGCGGGGGCGGGGGCGGCGGCTCCCCGGGGAGCCTCCCCGCCCCCACCCAGAACCACCACCACCACCACCACCATCAGCAGCAGGCGGCGGCGCCCCAGCAGCCCACGCCCGCCCCGCCGCCCGGCTGCGTCGTGTGCACATCGTGCGGGTGCAGCGGCAGCTGCGGCTCCAGCGGCCTGACCGTCAGCTACGCCAACTACTTCCAGCACCCGTTCTCGGGGCCGTCCGTGTTCCCCTTCCCCTTCCTGCCCTTCAGCCCCGTGTGCGGCAGCGGCTACGTGGGCGCCCAGCAGTACGGCGGCGGCGCCTTCCCCGTGGTGCACTCGCCCTACGGCGGCAGCGTGCCTCCAGAGCCCGTCCTGGGCGGCCAGTCGGCCTTTGCCGTGCCGCCCATGCAGAGCTTCATGGCGGGCGCGGCGGGCGTGTACCAGGCCCCGGGGCTGGTGGGCAGCAGCAACGGCTCCGGCCACAAGAAGAGCGGCAATCTGTCGTGTTACAACTGCGGGGCCACCGGGCACCGCGCTCAGGACTGCAAGCAGCCGTCCATGGACTTCAATCGGCAAGGTAAAGGTGGGCGGCCGCAGAGCGGGCCGCGCCGGGTGGCGGTGCGGCGGCGCGCCCAGGAGAGAGGCGCGCGGAGCTCCCCTCTGTACGAAAACAGTAGTGAACTCGCTGCTTTTTAAAGCAAAAACTAATGTTTTGAATGCTGTTGGGAAAAGCGTGTAGTTCTGGGTGGGCTGTGAAGCCCTCCGAGAGGGTCACTTTGTCTCGAAGCTGTCCGTGGACTGCAGCCTGCCCCTCCTCACAGAGGGCACCGGCCGGCTGGGGAGAGGGCTTGTGTGGCCCCCGCGTTAGCCGGGGCAGCGCGCGGGGCTGAAAGCCGAGGGCCTGGCGCGGGCGTGCGGATGCTGCCGCTGGCTGTCCTGCGCCCGGTCTCTGCCTCCGCGGTGGCCAGGCTGGTGGAGCGTGGCTGCGCGATGTCACTGTTGGCTGTGCTGCCACGTGCCACCTCCCCCCGCCCCCACTTCCACTTGCTCTCTTTTGTCTCTAGTCCAGTTCAAGCGTGTATCTGCTGTGGTGGTGACACAAGTTCGTTCTTGCTGGTGGCTTTGGAAGGGAGATTAAACTAGGCAGGAGGAACGTCTCTCCCAGCTCTGTGATACCGTGCAGCCTGGAAAAGTCCCCTGGTCTCTGTAGATGCTTGATGGTTGCCCCAGACCTGGGATTCCTACACCCGCCTGTGCATCTTGGCCACCCAGAGAGCGTTAGAGACAACTCTGGGGGCAGGTGGGGGTGGCTGTGGGCTGTTCCCACCCTGAGGCTATGTCCTGAAGCAGCGGACTCAGGCCCGTGGTGAGGTTCAGGCGTCCCCAGCCCCCAGCCTGGCCGAGCTCCCGAAGAGTAGAGAACCAGACTGGTGACCGGCCGTGTCACCCCTTGCGTTGATCCACTTGTAGTGTCTAGTTTTGGGGGTGGAAGCGAGGAGCTGGGAGTGGGTACAACAGGTAGTCCAGATTTCCAGCACCCACCTCTTGACCAGTGACTCTGGAAAGAACTTTGGACAGCTCAGTTGTTGGTAGTAATTGCACAGTGATTCAAATTTGATCTCTTTCTCCTCCCCCTCTCTCTAGGTACTTTTAGGTTGAAATATGCCCCTCCAGCAGAAAGTCTGGACTCCACAGACTGATATTTTTCTCTGGCAGCAGAACACTATTAAGCCATGGAGACATAAGGAAAATTAAATACAAAACTGAGAAGTCTAGTTGCTGTTGAGCTTAATATTTTTAATCCAAAGGTGCTTTACTTTACTAGACTGGATAGAAAACCTAGCGTAGGAGTGCATCAAACTCAGTTTTATTGCCAAAATCCTAGATTGGAGCTTGACGTCAGGACTTGCCTGGTTGGCGCCTCCACCGTGGTTGCGATGTAGAGACCTCCATCTCCCGAGGAGCATTGCCGTCATCGGTCCTTCCAGGCTCACACGTAATTCCCGGGCAGCTACGCAAGATCGGAATCGAGAACTGCAGGTTGGAGTTCTCCGCGTGGAGTTCCACCAGTCGGACTCTTGATACCCCTGGGTGAGGGAAAATGTCGCCTTTTGTTTTGTTTTGTTTTTTGTTTTTTGTTCCTCAAGTGGTTAGACACTAATCTCTCTGGGCTTTTTAAGGATTGCACTCCAGAAGAATGTAAACTGATGTCAATCTCTGCCGCTCGGGGAGACAGACTCCCTGAGACCAGTCAGTGCAGACACTCATAGAACCCGTTTTTAAGGAGCTGGCACCAGCAGGCTACGTGACTTGGTACACAACAGAGATTTTAGCGTTTCTTTCCCTCCTTAAAACACTTGTAGCAGTTTGAAGTTTTTAATTTTTTTTTCTGCGAATAAATTTAAACTACGTTATTAAATAGACATAGTTACTCGCAACAACTTAATATCTAAGGGTCCAAGTCCCAGAGAATCCCTAGTTGTCAAAGCTTTGAGAATCCCTTCCTTCCCGGCCCTTCAGTAGCTTGAAGTCCTGTCATCTTCCACCGCGACAGAGCTCTCACCGAGACATGGTGACCACATGGCCTTCGTGACTGGCTCTGACGGATGCTACACATCCTTAGCAAAGTTGGCAAGTTCTTTTCTCTCTCACGGATCTCCCAAGGACCCCAAGGCTTACTGCTAACGGATTCACACTTGAGACAGACGTTTCAACAATAATACAGTCCTATAATTTATGAGCAAAAGATTTGAAACGTTCTCCTGTCAGCTTCTTTTGTAGTAGGCTGTGTATTAGTGGTTAGTTCTGCTAAAAATTACCTGAAAACTACAATAGAAAGTGGTAAGACTCTGAAAGAGCCCACACCGACAGGACAGAGCTACAAGATCTGCAGAAGTCTAGTTTTATCCAAAGTGGGAAGTCAGTCCTCACTATACAGCTCTGTTTCACCCCATTACAATGAAAGCTGCTTGGTCTGAAATTTAGGGACTTAAACCTTTAAAGCCAAAAGGGAATTTTCTGCTCAGATATTATTAACACTAAAGCCTTCAGTATTAAAATGTTGATTGGTAAGGCCTTGCCCAGGGATTTTGCAGTTGAATATTTATTTAAAAAAAAATATTCAGAGCTTTCTTAAAATGGGACAATCAGCCTCATGCCGAATTGGTGTAAATCAAAAAGAATACCCTAGAATTGAGGCACTGTGATGTGAGGCTTCAAATTTTATGATCAGTTTCCTAGCGGAAACTAAGGCAGAGTTTCTTTCTTTTTTTTTTTTTTTTTATGACAGGCTTTTAGTAGAGTTTTTTTAGAGTTTTATTTTAGTAGAGTTTCATTTCTATGCAATGCAGAATTGACAGACCTCTGTATGCTTCTCTCTCTTCCTGGTACACAGTATTACATACAGTTTTGAAGTGATGGTGATGCTTACAACAACTTTTTGGGGGAATGTTACATTGATCTCTTAATTATAAACACTACAAAATGTCAAAATAATGAGAACTGACACAACTTTGCCTTAAAGAGTACGAGCCTGGAACTTGTCATATGATGTTAAAGGAAGACTTGGGAGTGTCCACTGATGTTTACGATTTTAATATTTCTGAAGGCCGTTACGGTGGCCTGGACATGTGCTGAAAGCCAAACTTTTAAATTTTTTGGTTTTTTAAACAAAGAAATATTTTAAATAAATCCTATTTCAACACAGTGAAATTGTTGAAAACTGTCTCATAACAAAAGAAAAAAAATCATATTTAGGGTTTTTGTTTTAGTGGTCAGTATTGGGGAATGAAAGTGTCTGTTGTTACCCTTATGACTATTTTGATAAATATTAGAGGTTAGTGTGTTCCAGTCAACAAAAAATTAAAATAGGAGCTTCGATTTGAAGTAGGACATTCAGATTGAGGTAAATAAGTCCAGACATTGTGTGGCTGTGTTCCAGTCATCAAAGGTCTTAGAAAAATTCCCACTTGTCTTTGAAAGTGCATGTGCGGTGTGATGTCTCCAGTGAGGCCATTCCAAGGTGAGAATTGTAAAACGTAAACGTGAGGTACACGGGACACAGAGCATCCAGCTGCCGATCTGTGAGACTCTTCCCAAGTGAATACTTGGACTTGGGAGTGTTTGCTGGCAGTGTAATCTCTGATAAATTTCTCTCCAAAAGCAACCAAAGTCAGTAAGCCTGAAGAGCATTTTGCATTTCCTCAGATGGCCTCATCTTCTTAGAAACACAGATCTGACTGACCCTTTCAACCACGTAGTCATTTTCCTGAAATCATGGGCTCGGTTTGCAAATGCTGTAGCAACCAGGTAGGTGTGGCACAGCCACTTTGCTCTGTGTAGTCTGTCGTATTTCAAAGTTTCTATCCCCATTTTCTGTCTCCCAAGAATGGGGGAAGTGGAATGTACAGATTGAAGTAGAATACAGTGTTGGGATAAAACAACTATTTAATTTTTTTTTTTTTTTTTTTTTTAGCAAACAATTTTCTACCTTCTTTTCTTGGTAATATTGAAAATTGGAAAAGTGTTTAAATGTTAAAACTCGTAATTGCTAGTGAGCACTGAGGAAATGGGAGCTAGCACTTAAAATAACAAAATTATTTTCTTCAAAGCAGGTATGTGATTGGGTATTAAAAAACAAAAAAAAAGCCAACCAGCATCACCTATAATCTCCAGATTACGGGAGTCGGCTTGTGAATATAGTAGTTAGTAGGGTCCGTGTTCTAATTCCCTCTTTAGAAGTCACTGTAGCTAGTTTCCACTACACCGTGTGGAGGTGCGCAGCAGCGGCAGCGACTCTGCCCAGCGTCACACAGCAACTGCAGCTCGTCCCAGGCGGAGCGCCAGCTGATCGGATCTGTCTGGATCTGCCCGGGGCCGCCCTGGGCTCGCTCCAGTGTCGCTGGAGAGCGTCGGCCCAGCGCAATCAGGTTGCACCCTCCTCACTCCCTATCATTTTGTACTCTTCTTGCTTCTGTGATGGGTTATTTGATGCCTTGCTAGTTTTACATACTGGTTACTGGTGGCGTATATATTGAGTCTTAAGGATGGTAAGGGAAACCGTGTCCTTCCCAGAGGATGGGCCTGTGGAACCTGAGCAGGCGGGCGTCCTTTCCAAAGTGCAGGTGACGTTGAAAGCCGTGGGTTCTGGAGAGGCTGTTTGCAAAGTCCTGAGGTTCTGAATGAAGAAATCTTTTAATCAGCACTCGCAAAACCACATACTTGCTGGTTGAGGCCAAAGGTCAACTTGACTACACTGTTCTGGGGGGAGGGGAGCTCAGTGTGGCTCATCAGTCAGTCCCGGGGATTGTAACAAGCCCCTCACATGCATTAAGTTCTTACATGCACAATGAAGGCTTTGGTACTGAAACCAGAGACCTCGTGTATTCGAGAATCTTCACAGCTTATATTGGACAGATTTTCTTTTTAGGAATGAAGGAAAATTCTCCCATTTTTGAGCCATTCTTTTATGTCAATTCTACAAAATTGCATGTAACTTTATAAATATTTTTAAAAGATATAGTTTTGTAAATATTTAATATTCTGCTAATTTGATTTTGAATTGTAAATGTTAAGTATTGTTTTTGAAGTTTTTATGTTTTATTATACTTTGTTAAAAAGGAAAAATTGTACATTTTTAGAATGTTTTTATGAGTAAATTTAATGTACTGAAAATAAAAATTAAAAAAAGCTGTTTCATTTTATTAGGTCTTTGTCTCATAGAATATGAAGCACACATATTTTCAAATAAATTGCAATTCTTGATCTGCAAACTAGGGAGTCAACCCTTTCTGCCTTCTCCACTTGACAAAAGAGATACATGGTTTTAAATCCATTTTCTAGCCAGTTTCCCGGGTTTTAAAAAATATCCTTGCTATGACCAGAAACATTAACTCTTGGTTTGGGATGTTCCAGCTCTAGGTTCCCTAAGAAATCAAGACTGGCATGAATTGATGTCAAGTTTCTTTGGAACGTCTCTATAAACAACGTGGTACGACATGGTATGAACGTGCCCTGGCATTTCTGGATTTGGAATGGTGGTAGTCCGATGAGCACAAGCTGGCCCAGGACTGTGGTGTTCTCATGAGCAGCGCCAGGCACCAGCAGGAGAAACCTGGCGCCTTTTTCCCAACAGAGGTCCCCAGGGCCTCTTAGTCTTGTCAGGCCTGTGGCTACCCAGAGGAAACTGTTTGTTAATGCACACACAGTTCCAGCCATCAGGGCTCCTGTCAGGAGACACGCAACTGGCCCGTACTTGGGGCCGACAGCAGCCCCTCTGACTTGCTGTTTGGGCAGGCCAGGCTTCTGAAGACGGGGGACATGAACACCAGAGCAACAAACTCGGGGAAGCAGAACATTTCCTCATCTTGCTCCCAGGATTCTTCCACAAAAACATTTTAAGTGCCTGCTTAAATTTGGAATGGGTGCAGTTTCTCAAATGAGTAATGCTGGCCACTACTTGGCCGATGTTTGTACTGTGTCTTTTCCCTGATGCAGCATGAGGTACCACAAACCACGTAATGCCTCCTTGACCACTCAACACACTCTCAGCACCTGCTGTGTTTTACTTTTTCATTTGTAGTGGCAGGTTTTCAAGTGTTGATTCCCACAAACACCCAGGTCTCACGTCCATCCATCCTCTTTGTGCTAATGCCTTTTAGTTCTCAGGAGAGTTTACTTGTGCAGAGACAAGACCAGCTGGCAGAACCTTGACCGAGGTGAGGAAGGTGCCTGGGACAAGGCAGAGACCTTCAGAGGTGGGTGCCCCTCTGTCCCCCCTCCCCCACTGCCACCACCACCGGGCTTGGGAGAGTAGACAGTAGACAGCATTGTCAAGTATCAAATACCGATCCATTAAATTGAGCTTCATGAGTTTTTAGTTGTGCCTTTATTCACCTTAGTTCATTAAAAATGTACTTGGTTTAGAGATCCTAGTGACCACCCACTCATGGGGGATCAGAAGTCACCCCTCTCTGCATGGTACTTTTTTTAAAAAGCAGAATTTCTTCTAGGAATCTTACTGATCACACAGTAGTTACAAGAATGTCAGATATAATGATGTATACAATCTAAACAAGACAGGCCGATGAAGAATTTACATTATGTAAAAACACATATTAAAAGTTAGCCGTGTGGACAGATGCATGCAACGGGAAGAGCAGTTGGAAGGTCAGGGGTCAAGTGCCCATATGCGGTACTATTGCTTCCCCCGCCCCCCTCCCCGGTCTGTTAATAAGTAACTTCCACTAACAGGTACAACAGGTATACCACACATACCTAACTACACAAAGGTGAATCATGACCTGCTACAGTACAGTCTAAAGTGGTCTGTGATCTTTCTGTGCTACTCCCACAAAAACGGTAAAGAATAAGCCCCATGCAGGTAGTAGGAAGCATTGGTTGTTCTAGTTGAACTCGGAAAATGTTTAACTTCTGACATTAGTATCTGTGAAGAGCACTAGGTCTCCTTTTGCTACTGTTTTCTTCACAACTGACATGCACTCGGGAGTGGAGGAACTTTGATGGTTGGTTGACCTACAAAGACAACTGAAATATTCTTAAAAATGTAACTTTTTAATAAGAGTGACACATTTAACATAAAACATGGATCATCTACAGCTTTAGGCCAAAAGGTAGAGGGAGTGCATCTGAATTTTAATGCTTTAGTTTCCGTGTTCTGTAGTTTCTAGCACTGTAGTTAAGGAATGAAACGGATAGAACAGCTTGTTTCTTTACCAAAGCGGACAGCAGTTTGACTTCTTAGAGAATATACAAACCAGGAGAAACGTCACATGTTCTTTCCCTGGGCCCTCTGAGAAACTAGACCAAAATTTTAAATTATTCAAGGTTCTTACTGAGTAGTGGTGCTTTTCTGTTATCGTCTAGAGAAGCAAACAAGAGCTCGCCAGCTCTCAGGCTCACGGTACACGTACACGAGCGGGAACCTTGGGCAGCAGTTCAGAGTTTTCCTACCCCCATTTTCCCAGCTTTTTGCCAATGATTATAGCAAATGGGAGGGGCGGGGGACGACTATGCTTGACAACTTAAAGATCCTCTTACAGGTATTTCCCCAGTTGAATAGAAACCCTTCTACAAAAAGTTGGCTGGTTCAGTGAACCTCGTAAAGAATGTCTCTCTGAATGCTTAAATTGCAGGTTCCTAATAGGGAAGGAGCATTAAAAATGATGTGAAGGTCTATTTTATTGGCAACTTAGAATGCAAAGTATTTTATTTTTAAACTTCTAAATTTGAAAACAAAACAGCCTAGGTTAAATCATGTAGTTTTCCAAAGCTGAATGTGCTCATTTGGAGCTCAGTTTTTCTGCTTACAGTACAAAACAACTTCCTAAAACTCCTAGGCAGGAACACTACTGTTTTGATGATCTGTGATTGGATGAACTCATCAATTTCAGTTGGTAATATCCCTTTTTTTCTCCTTGGTAAGGGTTTAAAAAAATTCAAGGACAGATGCATTTTTCTAGTCTTACACAGACAGTTTCACTCCAAATGTCTCCTGAGAAGCGTACACCATGTACAGGAATCCGTCTTCGTCCTTCTCACTTTCATACACTTCAGAAATCGGTGTGGACACACTCACCATGCTGTGACCATTCACTAGCAGGAAGAAGGCTTGGTTAGCGTTGAGCTGTAAGCGTCTCCTATTGAAAGAGACACCAACACATCAATATGCAGGGGACATGGAAAAATATCACCCACCCCCATTGATAGAAAAGTATAAAGCTTTTGTGAATGCTGCTTCTGGCAAGATAATGTGTGTGCCTACTGATGATGACTCTGCTAAAACTTCTCATAAAGCATAGGACATTTCCTAGGATTACATTCATGACTGGTATTAGTGGTAATTCTTAGTAGATTATTCTTACTGTATTCCCCAAGGCCAGTTTTAAATTAGTATGCTCTCTGAATAGCCATTAGTGTCTAATGAGAGAAATAGTTCAAACTATAATTTACAGACTATTTATTACCATTTTACCAAGTCTGCATTATCTTTTACTAATTTTGCCATATAAAACTTGTAAACTTTTCTGATTAAGAGACATCTGGGGGAGCCTGGGTGGCTCAGTTAAGCATCTGCCTTCGGCTCGGGTCATGATTCCAGGGTCCCAGGATCGAGCCCCGCATCAGGCGCTCTGCTCAGCAGGGAGCCTGCTTCTCCCTCTCTTTGCCTGCCGCTCTGCCTACTTGTGTGCACTCTCTCTCTCTGTCAAATAAATAAAATCGTTAAGAGAGAGACAACGTCTACACTAGATGTTATGATGAAAGAATCAGACGGACAGGAAATCCAGCAGATAAGAAAGAGAACTCAGGAAGGATGGAAACATCTTTAGGTTTTATTAAGCTTGCAAAGATGTTAATCAGAACTAAAGATTTATCTGTAAGTCTGATACAGAATGAGCAGTTACCCAAAGAAATAGAAAAAAAAAAGTGATTAAATACCTAATGATCTTGATGAGCTCACTCATGTTGACATGATCAGGTACAAGGAATTTGGTTTTGTCCAGGACAGGAAGTTGCTTCTCACCCTTGTACCGTTCTATTATCACCTAGAAAAGCAGCCAGATGAGAGAGAGTTTAAAATAACCGTTGACAACGAAGAGATGAAATACTTCCTATGTTGTAACTGGCACATACCAAAACGGGGTTTGAAATAGAAACAGCACATTTGTTAGTTTCCCCACAGATCTCCTGCGAATAGTGATCATTTATTAGCTTAGACTCTATCCCTTACAGAATATAGTACACAAGACAAATTGGCTGCCTCCAGGGAGGTGAGCAGGGTGGTGAAAGAATTTTGCTATATATTCTTTTTGTTATTTGGAACCATGAAAATATACTAACTAGTCAGAAAAGAGCAGATGCTAGGTACCAGCTTAGAGTGTAAGCTCTGAATCTATGTCAACTGTAATACCACGATTTCCTCTGAAATGCGTGAGATCTTAATTACGGTAATATACTCAAATGTCTGTTTCACACTAGACTGGTTTCTCTACTTGATGTGGAAAAAGTCCTAAGTAAATAGCTGATAAGTAGAGACAATGATCAGCTGGCTCTGGAGACAAATTTTGCGCAGAAAGACTTGAAGATGCTTTCATTCTGACAAAATACTCCTTATATTTCTTTAATGAGTTTTAAGAGTCAAGAATCTCGTACTATGCAGGGAACAAAAATAGTTCCACATCATGAACCGAAATAAATTCATTAGCTCCTTGCCATACTTCCTTTCCACAGAGGACAATTTCTCCCCTAGTTCTAAGCCACCACAAAAGCTGGCCAGAGTGCTGACTGCCTGTGCCTCATCATCTTCTGAGTACCACAGACACTCTTCTCCAGGTAAAGCAACTCTCTACCCTGTCACAACAACGAGAAGCTGAGAGACAGAAATGGAGAGAGAGGAATGGAAATCTCTGCATAATGTTTCCCTAGAAAAGGGGAAGATAACTTGTCTGTACATTGTTCCACTATATATGGGACCCACATGGGTTCTGTGTAGGACCAAATCAAACTGCTATTCCCTTCCTTGTTAAGATCAAGGACTTTTATCCATGGGGTGTGTTCAGAACACGGTAGCCACAAGGGAGAATCAGTAGGTTAAGACTACTTTTGCCTGGGTTTGACTAGCAGCAGAGATCAGAGGCAATGCAGAAATCTTTTTTTTTTTTCCCCAGAGATTTTATTTATTTGACAGAGAGTGAGCGAGAGTAGGAACACAAGCACAGGGAGTGGGAGAGGGAGAAGCAGGCTTCCTGCCGAGCAGGGAGCCCGATGTGGGACTCGATGCCAGGACCCTGGGATCATGACCTGAGCCGAAGGCAGACGCTTAACGACTGAGCCACCCAGGCGCCCGGCAATACAGAAATCTTGACTTTGGGGCACCTGGGTGGCTCAGATGGTTAAGCCATGTGCCTTCGGCTCAGGTCATGATCTCCAGGTCCCGGGATCGAGTCCCACGACGGGCTCCCAGCTCAGCGGGGAGCCTGCTTCTCCCTCTGCCTCTCCCCTTGCTTGTGCTCTCTCTGTCTCTCTCCCTTTCAAATGAATAAATAACATCTTAAAAAAAAAAATCTTAAATTCCTGGTTCAGGAAGAGGCAGAAGCAGTCAGAATGAGAAGAAAACCCCCCGACCTTAGACCCTCTTCATTAAAGGAAGACGCAACAGCAGCCTGGGGACACGGGACAGTACGGCCTTGAAGGCCCTCCCCCTCTCAGGTACCGCTGACTCTCCAGTGCTGGTGATACTCACGAACACAATCCCCTATGAATGACTGGTTGACTTTTCAGCTCTTATGTTTTTCTTTTTCCTGTACTTTTTTAATTTGGGAGAGAAGATGCGTAAGTCATGAGTAAGGCATTTGGCTAGACCTGAAAAGTGCCTTCTAGAGTGTTGCATCTAGGCAGCAGTGTTATGGACAGGGACGAAGGAAGAAAAAGCCGTCCTTGGGGAGTGGAGAACGGGGACTGGAGAGCCAGCAAGCTGCCTGCCCATCCATGCTATCCCCGATAAGGAGTGCTTGTAAACTTGTTCAGGAGCCACAAGCACATACGTGGAAGGACGAGTATGTGATTTCTGCAAAAACCCCGGAACTGCTAGCAGAAGAGAGGACTGCTAATATACGCAGATATTCACTTTTTCAAACGGAGGCTGCAGAACAAATCCTGGCAGACTGCTGGGCTATTCGTTTCCAACAGCTAGCACCAAAAAGTGAAGAAAACCTTAAAATTAAGGAAATTCCCCGGGCCATATGTTGACCCCAAATATAAGGAATTTCTAAGCAGTCCAAGGAAAACCGAGACTGTGTCTTTTACTGTAGAATCCTATAGTCGGGAAACTCCTGGGCAGACACATCTTATCTCTTCTGTGTACCTTACAGCCCCAACCCCCTGGACCTTTTCTCTTTCCCTCAGTTTAGTCTGAGGGGACACATCAGAAAGCCAGACATGAAAACTTCTACAGAATTTTTAACAGTGGAGTGTACGGTCTGTAGCATTCGTAGGAGAAAACAACCATGTACACAGAACTAGGCAAATCTTTCCAACTACTACATGGGATGGGATTCTCCTCCCATTTTACAGATAAGAATGTGGCAGCCCCTTTCAGAATTTTAGTAACTAGCTCAACATCACTCAGTAACCTTGAACCTAAGGCCTGAACTCAGCCTCTATCTAAAACCAGAAGTTCCTCTTAACCACTTCTCCCCAGACCTGGTGCCTCAGCAGAAACCTTTTTAGGGTCTGCCAGCAAAGGATTTGGGGTAGAGGGTATTGCTGCCTGGGCACAGCAAAAAGCATCTGAGGCACCTACATGTGACAAGAAAGAACAATGTCTTTCCTCCATCTCCTGCAGAGCAGCCAAATACAACAGACTTCCCTGAGGCATCAAAAAAAGCCTGGAATGTACAGTCACATTTCAATCCTGAGAGCTGATTTTCCTATTGCAGTACTCCCTCCTTTAGCAGAGAGTGGACACTTCCTTCCACTGTAAAATACGAACAGTTCTAGCCCCTCCATCCCTTTCCCCCCAAGTAAATACATTTGACTTGTGAAGTGTGTAACATTAAGACAGCAAACTCAGACTCAGGAGGAAACAGAATGTGATTAGATGAAAGAACTGTATATTAAGATACCTCAATTCTAAGTCATGAAATTGACACTGGGGTTACTTGTCTGAGGAGCTCTGTAGAACCCTGTCACATAGTCACACATAGCAGCCTCGTACTAAAGTACTTAAGCAGTGCTCTCTTCTGCGTACATTGTTAACGACTGAAACATAGGTGCCGGAGACTACCTACTGGGATTTTGGTAGGATGCTGCTCTCGGATAAGTCGGACATCTTCTACTCTTTGTTCTGCAACGAAAAGGAAGAGACATAGGCATTATTAAGGGCCAAAATGCAGCTTCTTTCCTGAATTTTTACTGGTGGTTTCTGTATCTAAATTCACCTATCCCTAGCTGTGACAGAGCAGGGCAGTAAGGTCATCTTCCCTAGAACCGAGAGGAGCCACACCCGGCACAAGTTGATATGTAACGTCAAACACAATTTCCAAGTAAACCAACATGCAATTACACGGCTCTTGCAGGTGGTGACACAAGACCAAGAGGACAGAATTCCTTGTTTCAAGGGTTTAGGACCCCAGGCTTACAGTCAAATGTAAACAGCAGATTAACTGCATGGCATTACCAATCTTTCCTCCAATGACTCCCACAACCGGTCAATTTTTGTGAATATTTCGAAGTTTAAGCTGGTACAGGAATCTAAGATAAGCGATAGGCTCTTCAATGCAATTTTCTCTTATTACTTCCTGCTTTTCAACCATACAGTGCTTAATGGAAAAGAAACTGCCCAAAAGAGATATGGGGCGGGGAGAATGCCCTATTTGACTTTTAAAAAGTTTTGCTCAGGGACGCCTGGGTGGCTCAGTCCTTTAAGCGGCTGCCTTCAGGTCGTCGGGTCATGATCCCAGGACCCTGGGATTGAGTCCCGCAGCAGGCTCCTTGCTTAGCAGGGAGCCTGCTGCTCCCCCTGCTAGTGCTCTCTCTCTGATTAAAAAAAAAAAATAGTTTTAAACAAATAATACATTATATGTTTAAAAAAAAAAAGAAGATAGCAGGAGGGGAAGAATGAAGGGGGGAAACTGAGGGGGAGATGAACCATGAGAAACAATGGACTCTGAAAAACAAACTGGGGGTTCTAGAGGGGAGGGGGTGGGGGATGGGTTAGCCCGGTGATGGGTATTAAAGAGGGCACGTTCTGCGTGGAGCACTGGGTGTTACGCACAAACAATGAATCATGGAACACTGCATCAAAAACTAATGATGTAATGTATGGTGATTAACATAACAATAAAAAATAAATTAAAAAAATATACACACTGTCAAAGTTAAAAAAAAAAATGGTTTTGCTCAGTGCCCGTCTCCCACTCCTCATCCAAAAAGTTTAAAGCACAAAGTCTACCGTTGAATACTTTTTTTGGAGAATATCTCTGTATTCCTCTCCCTTAATATAATCACTTATATGAATGATCAATGTCATGGACTTCCTGGGAAGTCCTGGTGGCTTCAGAAAAAAGATGCTATGATCTATGTAAATATATTCTACCATTGCCTATTTTTTTGGATCTAAAAAAAACCATTATCATTCCTCATAAAAATGACTAATTCCCATGTTCAAATATGAACATATAGGTTCTGTTTCTATTTTCCCACCCAACATTTCTAAATCAGCTTCTAAGATAAAATTACTAACATATCTGCTATAGAAGAAGACTGCAAAACTCAGGGATTCCTAGCAACGCACATTCCTATTCAGTACGAGAAAACAGAGATAAAATTTAGTTGTTGTTAATAATAAGCTTAGCCTAGTGATCTATAATATAGTGATTAATAACAAAAAATACGTACTTGGTCCTGGCAGAGCTTCCAAAACCACTGGAATTTCCTACATGATAAGAGTGGTACTGATAAGGGCCATCTCTTGTTATTCATAGCAAACCCCAATCAACCATATCTGAGTTTATGTTAATGCAGTAACTTTTGGAAAGCTCCTAAGGATGGGGGACTGGTTGCTAGGGAGAAAGAACAGTGATTTGGGGTTTGAAATGTTCAGACCCACCCCAATCACCAGGGAGGGGAAAGGGGCTTGGAGGACGACCTAATCACTGATGGCCAATGATTTAACCAGTCATGCCCATGTAATGAAAACTCCACCAAAAGGATGGGGTTTAGGGCTTCCAGGTGCTGGGAGAGTGGCACATACCAAACTCCACAGGGACTGAAGCTCCTGTGCTCAGGACTCTTCCCGACCTTACCCTATGTGCTTTTCATCAGGCTGTTCATTTGTATGCTTGAATATTCTTTGTAATAAGCCAGTAATCTAGGAAATAAACAGTTTTCCTGTGAGCCACTCCAGCAATTTAATTAAACATGAGGGGGTCATAGGAACCTTGGATCTGCAGCCAGTTGGTCAAAAGCACAATTAACAAACTGCACTTGCAGTTAGTGTTTGGAATGGTGAGTGAGGAGGGGCAATATGGTGGGGCTGAACTCAACCTGTTGGATCTGAGGCTATCACCAGGTAAACAGAATTAGAATTGAGTTAAACTGTAGGAGAGGCATCAGTTGGTTGAGCATTCAGCTCGATCTCAGGGTCGTGAGTTCAAGCCCCACATCGGGTGTAGAGATTACTCAAAAAATAAATAAAATTAAAATTTTTTTAAAATTCGACGACAGTGAGCTGAATTGCTTGGTATGTGGAAACCCACACATCTAGGGTCCAGAGTGAGGCAGTTAATTAGCAGAATACGGAGAGTAAAGGAAACACAGGAGGAGGACGATTTCCCCTGGCATCATCCTTCAAATCCTTCTCTATTTCTGCGGGTGTCACTGACTCCCCTCCAGCGTTTCTCTCAGCTCTGAGACCTGTCCCTATGTCTGTCCTACCCCAGGAAAAGGTGCTCTACCATCTAGACCCACCTCTCCCCCCTCTTCACAACAAAAACCTCCATTTTGTCAGGGAAGATTATTTCAGAGGTTAGAGGAAATCACAATTAATTCACTCTCGCAAATGAATGATAATTCTCTAATATATCCTGGAATATGCTTCACATTTAAAAGCGTATCCTAACTGGGGGTGCCTGGGTGGCTAGTCGGTTAAGCATCTGGACTCTTGATTTCCAGTCTGGTCGCGATCTCAGGGTGGTGAAATCGAGCCCCGTGTCAGGCTCTGTGCTCAGCGCAGAGTCCGCTTAACATTCTCTCTCAAATTAAAATAAAGCTTATCCTAATAAATCTGAAAGTTAAGTGGAAACATTCAGACAGAAGGGGGAGTTTTTTTAATATAAGCAAAGAGGTTTGTTTTGGCAAGTGGAAAATGAAAAAAACAAAATAGGCTTAAATGTGAGGCTTCAAATCTGAAACTATAATTTCTATACTATGGTATCAAAAGTTTATCTTGATTTATCCCCAAAAAAGACAAAAATCATTATTTTTATTAAAGGTGGAAAAACTGAGGTACGAAACAAGTTACTTCCTTAAGGTAAAAACAAGTAATACCAAAGTCTCATAGAAATGTCATGACTAGGGCGCCTGGGTGGCTCAGTTGGTTAAGCGACTGCCTTCGGCTCAGGTCATGATCCTGGAGTCCCGGGATCGAGTCCCGCATCGGGCTCCCTGCTCGGCGGGGAGTCTGCTTCTCCCTCTAACCCTCCCCCCTCTCATGTGCTCTCTCTCTCATTCTCACTCTCTCAAAATAAATAAATAAATCTTAAAAAAAAAAAAAAAAAAGGAATGTCATGACTATCTTGGCCAGTTGCAATGAAAACCCAGTGGTAAGCCTGGAGTTACTGAGCAAATATGCTATATGCCTGTGCCTCACTCCTTTGAGTATACAGCTATTTTCGGAGACTAACAGTATATTTAACAAAAACATTACTAACAACACAAATCAAAGGCACATAGGAGCAATTGTTTTACTTAAGTATTTTTTTTTAAATGTTGTAATGACCTGTTTATTATTTGTCTTCTTCAAAGGAGTGCCCCTGGCAGCCAGGGACCTGCTTCTATCATCTTTGTATTTACCAAGGGCTCAGCCTTGCACACAGAAGATAGTTAATAAGCAAATTAAAGTTGTAAAATGGAAATAAAACACTCTTCCAAATGCATATCAAGATATACTTCCCAGATTCCTTTTCTCCTGTCTCTAAGAACCCTTATAAGACTTACAAACAAAAGAATAAAGGAAAGGAGTTAAGGTGTCTTATTTTTACCAACATATCATTTGCAAAGTTGCTTCGAGATTCCCTGGGGTATTTAAAGTATAACTCTATTTAACTGAGTGAAATGGAAGCATAATATTGCCCCCATCTGTCTATAAATCATAAAAATAATATCCAATTCATCAATGAGTAATAACACAGCTTCAGTTCATGGAATGCTACCGACGTTTTGGCATAAACCTTGCTCTACAGTCTACCTATTAGAGTAGGTGGAGCTATTTATCCTAGACCAACACACAAACTTCCCCCAAGACATGCTAACTTTTTTGAAATTAATGGAGAAGCTTAAACCTGCTCACCACTAAATCACAGCAGAAGAGCGTCATTAAATAAACTGGGGCAATCCCAGAAGCTGAAGCAAAATTATTACATTTGAGCATACCAAATCCAGAATTATTTGCTCAAACACAACTCTGGAAGTTCATAAAATTTTTCCACAGACCTGCAAAGACACACTATGCCTTTTGACTTAGTGTTAGCTCATCTCACGTATTGAAAATGATGGCTACCTACCGGAGGCTGGGAAAATACACAGCAGGGAGAAGATAAAGTGCAAGTCTAGACTCTACCACTAGGTGGACCATGATCTTCACCTCTCTGGGCCCCACCCAGTTTCTTCAGCTACAAAAAGGGGCTGTTTTGGGTGAGTCCCAAGGTCCACTTCAACCCTCTCGATCTTAGTAGAAGATATAAGCAGAGCTATATTCAATTCTGAATTAAGCTAAACTCATTCACTTGGAAAGAGAAAGAACTGCTCAAGCTAAGTGGGGCTGCTCTTAGGTTCTACAGAAGAGGTTCTTTCCAAAGAATTGATTTCCCTCATTTACTGGGCTACAAATCAGTGTAAATTGTCAGCAGTGGAGCAAGGAAAGGCAGTAGCCATTAAATGATATTTGATCTTTTTCTGCAAAATGACTATTAAAGAGATCTTTTTAAAGGGGGTAAGGGGGGCGCCTGGGTGGCTCAGTTGGTTAAGTGTCTGCCTTCAGCTCAGGTCATGATCCCAGGGTCCTGGGATGGGGCCCTGCATTGGGCTCCCTGCTCAGCAGGGAGCCTGCTTCTCCCCCTCCCTCCACTGCTCCCCCTGCTTGTGCTCTCTGTCAAACAAATAAATAAAATCTTTAAAAAAAAAAAAAAGGGAAGGGGGTGCCCCTGGGTGGCTCAGTCGTTAAGCGTCTGCCTTCGGCTCAGGTCATGAACCCAGGGGTCCTGGGATCTAGCCCGCATCGGGCTCCCTGCTCCGCAGGAGGCCTGCTTCTCTCTCTCCCACTTACCCTGCCGTGTTCTCTCTCTGGCTGTCTCTCTCTGGCAAATAAATAAATAAAATCTTTAAAAAAGGGGGGGAGGGGAGTAAAGGTGAGCTATGGGGCAAGCCCACAAATAGTATTTGTAGATGTACTAACGGGAAAAAAATGGGGGCATTCCTGGTTTACCCCCCTGGTTCACCCTCAGGGCCACAGGCTCCAGGCGAATTAGAATACGTTAATCTCATCACTTTTCCTACTCTTACCACCTACTCCTCAGAGATTTTTCTAGAATAACCTAAAAATACTCTAAGCAAAAGGAAAATAACTATAGTTTCAGTCATGAGAAAATAAGCATCTTTCCCACACAAATGTCCCCAGTTAACTTCTATTATGTGTGTTTTTTTTAAAGTAAGCTCTACGTTCAAAGTTGGGCTTGAACTCTCAATCCCAAGATCGAGCTTGAACTCAATCAAGAGTCATACATACGCCTCCATCCACTAAGCCAGCCAGGCGCCCCTCAGTTAACTTTAAAATGCAAGAGTCAGGGAGGACAGAAGCCAGATACAAGAGGAAATCTGCTTCAGATGCTGCTCTCAGGGCTGCATAAAAGCTTAAATATTGAGAGTTCAGAGGTCATTAAAGAGAAAATTCCCAACAAAACGCACAACCAAGTGTTGCTAAATAACAAACTGCCCCAAGAGACTGAAAAGGTATGCTTGGCAGCTTCTCAGGACCAAGCAATCAAGTAATTACTAGTAACGAGATCTACAACACCACGTCCAAGCTGTATGAGCGCTCAACTCTTTGTAGACTTCAGGCAAGGAAACAAAAGGAGTGCACAGTGTTGCTGCCGGAGACACTAAAGCGGGGGACCTCAGGGAACTCCCCTGAGCTGCTATAAACACCCCCCACACACACACTGCCCGGGGTGGGGGGGCGCCGCGTTGTTCGTGCAGGGTTCTCTTGCTTCAAGGAACACCAGTCACTTCCTTATCTTCATTTTTCTGGTGGCGTAAGTATTGTGATAATGTTACTTTCAGTTTCACCAAATGCTAGGAAACCCAAGTCGGGTTTCTAGCCTGAACTGGGAAAGAAGTGATTTACTGCTGGTGGAAAAGTATGAATGCAATGGCAAGCCAAAAAGAAAAGCCACTGACCCTAGCTCTCCTGCCGCAAACAGGATCCAGACGCGCCGCCACACCCGGTCTACACTGGAGGGCGCAGGGATGTGTACAAAGCTCCACCTGCAGGGCTCCTCCACACTCATCTCAAGCAAGGTACGGACGTTTGTAAGCGACCACGTGTGACCAAGGCGACTTACCTGGAGATGATTCACTTGCATACAAGTGTCATCACTTCAAAGACCTGTCACAGCCTGGCCTGCGGGCCGGCCTCCCCCACGGGCACCCCTGTTACGCGCGTCTGCGCCTCCGGAGGGGCAGCGCCCTCCAGGGCTGCAGGGCTGATGCGAGAACCCAGCACACAACCCGGCCACGGCTGCGGGGGACCGAAAGGTGATTCAGCAGCTCCGCCGCGGCGCGCCCTGGACGGACAGGCGCCCTCGACGGCGACCCGGCCGCGGTGGGGGCTGGCGGGCCTTCCCGGTCGGACCGCGCACAGGCCCTGACCCCGACCCCCTCGGCGGACTACCGCCATCGCCCGCGACACAGCCGGGGGGCGGGTGTTGGAGGGGGGCTCCCAGGGTCCCACCCCGCTGAGGCCCCGGCCTCCCAGCCCCATGTCGCGCCCCGGCCCCGACCCGGAGCGCACGGACGGCCGCCCTCGCCCGAGACCCGGCCCCCGGGGGTGGCGGGGGGCGGGGGGGAGCTCCCTGGGGCCGACCGCTCAGGCCCCGGCCCCCCGGCCCTACGTTGGCCCCCGGCCCCGACCCGGAGCGCACGGACGGCCGCCCTCGCCCGAGACCCGGCCGACGGAGGGAGGGGACTTCCAGGGTCCGACCCCGACACCGATCCCCTCAGCCCTCGGTCAACCCCGACCCTCCCCCCCCCCCGACTCCACAACGCCGTCGGCCCCCGGCCCCTCAGCCCTCCCCCCGGTCCGCCGTCGCCGTCCCCGCCTCCGCCCCTCGTGGGTCCCACCCCGCTTAACCCCACATGAAACCCCGTTCCCCCCTCAGCCCCCGTCGGCCCTCGCCCCGGCCGTCGCCGACCCTAGCCGCCCTGGGTCGCCGCTTCAGCCCCTCCTCCGACGCGCGCACCACCCCCCCACGCCGCGGCACCCACCGAAGGTGCGGCGCTGCTTGAAGGTCTTCTCAGACGGCATGGCGCGGGCGGCGAAGCGGAGGCGGTGAGACGGAGGATCCCGGCTGCTGCAGGCGGTGGCGGCGGCAGCAGAAGCTCCTCGACTGTGGCGACAGCGATTTCCCTTGTGTCTCTTCAGCCCGCAGCTGCGTCAGGTGACCGGCGCGGCGTCCCGGGGGGCGGGGCCAAGACCGTCTGCCGCCGCCGCCATGGCGGGCGTGGCGGAAGCGGGGCCGCGCGCGTGCGCAGAGGAGACTCCGCGGTGCGCAGGCGCGCGGGTCGGGCCCGACCGGGCGCCGAGGTGCAGGCGCGGCGGTGGGAGGGTGGGTGCGCCTCCCGCGTCGATCTCCCGTGTGGCCCAGCTCCGCTTGCTGACCCCGCGTCGCTTGTGTGCCGCCTCCGTGTGCCGATGGCCGAGAAAGCTCCGGCCCGAAAATACAGTCGTTGCGTGCTCCCGCCGCAGCGCCACGGGTCTGGGGGGCTGCCGGTTGCTCGTCCAGAGCCGGTACCTGTCGCTGCTGTGTGTTTAGGGAACTGCGCCCATGTGGCTCCGGGGAGTTGGGGCCCGGCGGCCTCCCGCTCACACCCCTCGGGCTCCCCGCCGCCGGGCATCCTCCCGAGCCTCAGAGTTCGCTGTGAAGGGGCAGTAACATTGGAGGGTGCCAGGTGCTTGGAGAGGAGCCTGCAGACTGCAGACCGTTCGTTCAGCGCACGTCCCCACGTCTACTGGACGTGCACCTGGGTGGACAGCGCCACAGTCCTAGGCTGGGCTGCTTTGTAATACCTAATACTTTGAAACATTACTATAGCTCCCGACCTCTTTCCCCTCTTTGTGGAAGCCTTTCTTATAGGATCGTTTGATGGAGTAATTGGATTGTGCTGTATACATTATTAGGCAAACATACAAAACATGCTAAAATATATTCCTCAAAGTGGTTTCATGTAGCTGGGATTTCTTTCCCTATAGAGAAGCCAAACATGTTGCAGATCCTTGTATAATTATTCTTCCAGACCAGAACAATGATGTTAGCTGTAGCTCTTCATTCTGCTGTACTAGACAACAGTGCATTGTGCATGTGTCACCTGTCAGACAGAAGGTGACATACATACGTGTATGTATGTATGTGCACACATACAAAGGTGTGCGCCTCTTTGTAACCGTTATTTACCTTGAAAAACCTCTGAATCAACAGCACTTAAACATTCTATCTGGTTTCCAAAGTTCCAAAGAAAAGCTTCAAGCTCCAAGAGTACCATCTTGGTTGCTTTGTATTTATTCTGTGAAAATTGGAAAAAAATTTTTTCATTCAGTGCTCGTTATGTACCTACCTTCTGCCAAACAAAATAATCAGGGTTGAAGTCTTAAAAGAGAGTGCGGGGACACCTGGGTGGTTTAGTCGGTTGACCGGGGGACTCTTGATTTTGTTTCAGGTCATGAGCTTCTGGTTGTGAGATCCAGTGTCAGACTCCCTAAGCGGGAAGTCTGCTTGAGATTCTCTGATTCTCTCTCCCTCTGCCCCAGCTCCCTCTGTTCCAGCAGCCCCTGCTCTTTCTTTCTTTCTCTAAAATATATCAATAAACCTAAAAAAAAAAAAAGTGTGGACTGTTTGCTGCTTTCTTTTCTGGAGGTTTTTTTTTTTTTTGATAATTAAGTATTGATTGGTGAGCTGCGTTCTTGGCTTAATTGCTATTTTGTAAGAAATGGACTTTATGTTCTCTTGCCGGACAACTGTTCCAAATGCAAGAGAGAAAAAAATCAATTATCTGGCATATGGAGGTTGGGGAAAGGGGAGGAGAGTTTCATATTTCCCTAGTCCCTTAGGCATCCATAATTACCCCAGGCCTTGGGTTCACAGCCACAGAGGGATAGGCTTCAAGGGCTGTGCTAGTGATGGGACAGGATCACTGTGATTTCCAAGTACTGAAGTCCACATTAACAGTGACTGCCAAAATCTTCCCCTAACCTTGAATTCCTACTTGCATCTAAAACCACATCTCCCTATGTGTTTCTCAGGAAATCATCCAAGGCTGTGGGCATGTAAAGGTGTCTCATAAGGATAATCTCCATGTAAGAATACCGTATTCATAATATATAAATTATATCTAAAATTTATTAACTTCTATTAACATACAGATAAAGAAGTAACTTAGAAAAATTTCATGTGCCCTCAGATTGCAGTTTAATAGAAGTCTGAGGTAGTGAACAATTTTCAGAGTGGCAAATTAATATCATTCATGAATTATTTTAAGCTAGTTAATATAAGCATAGTATGATTTATTTTTAAGTGAATAACAAATACTACTGTTCCTTAAATTAATCCATATAAAGTAGAAAAGCAAGAACACATCTTTCAAATTTATTAAATGTTTTCTCCAGGAATCTCATGGTGCCTTTAAACTATCAAACTATTACCCTAGAAAGTCAGATGGTGTTTTAAATAAATCGACCCTCTTCCCTTTTCCATAATATGAAATGACCATAATTGTGAAGAAAATAAGGTAACCATTAAAAATTGAACATGATGCCTCCAGCATTAGTGACGCAACATGGTTGTAAATCATACTGTCTAGCTATTTCTAAGAATCTGTTAAATGAGGCATGAAACATTAACCTGCAGTGCAGGACACATTATTTTTGCCACACACAACATGGAGGACAAGTCAAACCAAGAAGTTGTTCAGGTCCCCAGGCCTGCCTGGCCGGTCCCACCTCTCCTCTTTCTGATTGGAAGAGACATTCCAGCCCCGAGGATGTCTGGGCAACTATTGGCTTGCTGTGCTATCATTCCTGTGTCATCTCTTTGCTCTTTAGAACAGGTAAACAAACAAGTATTGCTCAAGAAAGAGCAGCCGCAGGAGCTATTCTCAGAAAGGATTTAGTCAGGAGGATTTGAAGTTGACCCTCCGTAGGTTGCAGTGTTTAGGAGTGTCTTCGCTTGCTCCTCGGAAGTGCTATCGGCAGCTGGGAGTGGCATTGTTTTTCAGCGCTCCCTCTCGCCATGAGGCTGTGTCTGATGGACAACTTCAGAAATCTGCAAGCGAGCGCACGCAGGAAAGCCATCACAAATCACTCACGTAATCTAACATCATTTCTGAAATGAGCATGAGCAGCTATTTCAGTGTTCCACAGGTTTTTTTGGTTTGTTTAATTCTAAGCAAATTCTCAAGGATTGCTTTTTTTTTCCTTTTTCTTCCTTTTTTTTTTTTTTTTTTGCCCATATATGGGACTGTTAAGGGAGGCATCTCTTGAGAGTCTATGGGCCCTCTTGTTTGGCCTTTGAATATTTTTCTTTCTTTCCATTACCTTGGCTGTTTCTTCTGAGCAGTGGGTAAGATGCCACTTTTCACATCTGGACTGTGAGAACCAGAATGGATAAAGTTAACAGTTTACTCAGGTCCAAGAAATACTAGTTTCTGGGACTTCTGGGGAACCAACATAAAAATATCCTGCCCTATAATTTGCTTATCTCCTTAGATGTTAGCAGTTCTCCACAACAGAGTTCATTATTATAGTCTCATCTAGCATTAAAACAAATGATCTCTTTTATCAACCATATCCTCTTTAGTGTTCTTTGTATGGGATACGTTATATATAAGGGACTATAAAAGTGTTCAGGACACACAAAGCTTTCAGGATTCACTGTGTAATAATTATCTGCTACCTGAGACCTTTCCCCTTGGGTTCCTTCCTGACAACAGGGGTTACCCACGCTCCCACAGGTAGGTTTCTTTCTATTCTGGTTAGCACTAATTCAATCCTTCCACATCCTGGGGTGGGTTATTGTACACAGCCTTCTGTTATTCCTGCCCTCAAGGATATACAGATATAGATAGGTCTTCCTAACTGCTGGATACTTGCATAATCCAAACTATAAACAGAATAGTTTAACCATTTTGGGAAGTCTGGGTGGCGGTTAAGCATCTGCCTTCAGCTCAGGTTGTGATCCTGATCCCAGGGTCCTGGGGTCAAGCCCTGAGTCCAGCTCCCTGCTTGCCTGGGGAGCCTGCTTCTCCCTCTCCCTCTGCCCCTCCCCCTACTTGTGCTCGCTCTCTCTCTCTCTCTCTCTCCCTCTCATGAATAAATAGAATCTTAAAAAAAGAAAAGAATAGTTTAACCATTCTTCTGACAAAAATTTAACCAAATTATTTTGTACATGAATACAAGTCTAAGCTCCTCTGGGAGAAAATTGCCTACTGGGGGTAGACAGATTTAGAAACAAAACAAAACAAAACAAAAATGTAACAGGGTCAAGGATTGTACTTTAGAACCTATGGATCCATGCAGAACATAGCACATAGGCTAGTTGGGCATTCTGCAAAAATTTATCACATTAGTTCAGGCATTTTTGCTTGCTGAAATACTTCCCAGCTTGGATTATAATGCTGATCCACCAGGCTTCTCTAAATCTGTTTGGTTCATGTTTCTCACTTTTTAGTCTTTTAGCCAGTTTTTTTTTTCATTCAACATTGAGTCAGTAAACACTCATTGACTGCATGATGTGTGTTAGCATATCTGTCACATGACAAGAGATACATCTAGGGAGATTGGTACAAAGGCAGCAAGTGTTAATAATAAAACAATGTGATGGTGCTGTGAAAAGGGGAACATCCTTCCTTGGAGATGCTATTTGGGGACAAGGAGGAAGGGGTTGGCTCTTTAATGGCACAGAGTGAGGAGATGGGTCTTCCTGGCAGAGGAGACCACTTGAGCAAAGTCAGAGATGTGACTAGGCTGATGGATGACCTTTGGATTGTCAGGTGGCTCCTCTGGAGAGATGGCCAGGAGGCTAGACTGGGCAATTATGTGCGATGTGATAAGGAGTCAGTGGGGCTATTAAATACCTTTAAATAGGTGAGTGCCACAATGAGTCTGATTTTGCTTAGGTGTTGCTATCTGCAGGAGAGTTGTGAAACCAGCATGGAGGCTGGACTGAAAAGCTGGCTAGGGGCAGCGAGATCAGTTAGCTGTTGTTTTCCAATTGTGTGGACCTAAGTGGGTCAAGATTTAATTTAGGACATACCATTTTGTTAGAAGATTCGCTTCCCTGATTACCGGATTCCCTCTCTCCCGCCTTGAGACCTCCCTACAGAGGCGGTAGTGAATAGTGAGGAATTTGTGGGAACTAGCAGGGTCATTAGGCAGGGTCATTAATTTTCTATCTGATAGCAAGATCACCCTTGCCCAGAAACACTGAGCCGGCCAGGGCATTCTAGACTTCCCTTTAGACTCTGGGCAATTCCTCCAGCGCTTCAGGACTGTGTGCTAGAGCGGTTCCTGTAACCACGCCCACAGCCAGGGGCCTGACTCTCCGGAAACAACTAATAACTAGTTTCTTGTTGTTGGGAGTTATTTAAGGTAAGCCACAGTCATGAGATGGCTTTACACAGTTCTCCAGTTGGGCCCCACCTTCTAGAACACACGTGCCAGGGGACACAGTAAACAAGGTAACTAGGGCAGAACCACAACACTAGTATGGACAAGGAGGTGGGAGCTGGTGTTTTGATCCGTCAGCTAGCATGATTTTCCCTTTCATTGCAGTAAGGGTGGAACTGAGTGAATGTCAGATTTTAGATAAAAGAAAGGGGTCTGATATGCATACGTCAGGGTTCTATTTGGCTTCCGTGGTTCGGAATGCTAGAGAAGTTTGCATCGCTAACTTCTAGGCCCTAATCACGCCTTACGTGGTCCTGGGCGCCATCCTGGGGTAGTCCTTGGAGCCGTGGTGGTAGTATTGGGACATTCTCCGGAGGGGTGTTGGGGATTCTGGGGAGGGACTTTGGGGAGGGGGCTCCTTGGGACTGTTCTGGGAGGGAACCTGCAGGGGGTCCTCCGGGGCATTCTGGGGGGGGTCCTCGGGGGGGGTCCTCTGGCCGTCTTGGGGGTGTGAAGGAGGGGAGTACTTCCTGTGGGATCCTCGGGCCGTCCTGGGGGGGTTCTCGGGGGACAACCTCCGGGGCTCCTCGGGCCGTCCTGGCAGCGGCGGTCACCCCGGCCGGCGTCCCACGGCGCGGCGACCTCGGTTAGCGCAGTGGGGAGGGCGTCAGTCCATACTCTGGAGGAGGAGAATTGGTCCCTTGCGCACGTCCACGGTCGGGAAGGGGCTGCCATCGTGCGATTTTAAGCAGCATTCTTTTCCCGTGCTCCGTCCAGGCGCGGGACCCCGGGCCTGAGACCCGAAGGCGTCAGGTGGTGGCTGGGCCGCGGGAAGCCCATAGGCTCATCCCGCGGCGGGCCGCTCCTGGTCCCTCGTGGTGGGCGGGGCCGAGCGGCGCGGGGGCGTGGCCTGAGGCGACTGGGCGGGCCCGGCGCTCCCCGCCCTGCTCCCGGGGGCGGGGCTCGGCTCTCCGGCGGCGCGTGCGCATGGGCGGCGGCGGCGCGGCGGCCGTCCCTCGCGCCGGCATGGCGGTGTGCGCTCGCCTCTGCGGTGTGGGCCCGTCGCGGGGATGCCGGCGCCGCCAGCAGCGCCGGGGCCCGGCCGAGACTGCGGCGGCCGACAGCGAGCCGGACACGGACCCGGAGGAGGAGCGCATCGAGGCGGGCGCGGCGGCTCTGTCCGGGGCGCTGGGCGGCCGGGGCGCGGGCCCCCAGTCGCCCCCGCGCTGCTCGCTGCTGGAGCTGCCGCCGGAGCTCCTGGTGGAAATCTTCGCCTCGCTACCCGGCACCGACCTGCCCAGCCTGGCCCAGGTCTGCACCAAGTTCCGGCGCATCCTGCACACCGACACCATCTGGAGGCGGCGCTGCCGGGAGGGTGAGCGCGCGGGGGCGGGGGTCCGGGCGGGCGGGGTGCCCCAGGGCTCCGGACGGGGCCCGGCCTCAGATCGGGGGCCTCAGGGGGACGGGCCGGGCCGGGCGGGGGGCGGTGATTCCGGGGGCCTCTCCCACAACTCCGGGGCGCGGGGTCTGGGAGAGGTGGAGTCCCGGCTGCGCCGCGGAGTCGCGCGCTCTACCCGCTCTGGGGGAGCTCTGAGAGGGGTGGGGGTTCCCCAGCCGCGGAGACTGGGCTGTGACTGCCCTGGGGCTGGGGCTGGGTTGAGGCCGGGGAGTGAGCTGACGCATGTGGGCATCCTCGTCTGTCCCCAGGCTTCGGGAGGCGGAGCTGAGAAGAGCGGAATGGTTAGGGAAGTGGAATGGTTAGGGAGCCCAGGATTGTGGAGGGTCTCCTGAGGGGCGGGTCTGTGGAAGGGCAGGTGGAGCCGGGCACTGCCGGAGAGGGTTGAGTTCCCTGTCAGGGATGCTGGTGGCAGTAGTGAGGGTGGTGAATAGTTTTGTAACAAATCGCAGGAGGAAAGGTTTACTTAATCCAGAGTTCAAGGCTCTCTACGTTTAAACGTTGATAGATCCCAGGTGTTCCATCAGGTCTCCTATTTTGTTAAAAAGAATAGCTGGGAAACAAATCCAAACAATGCAGAGCAGCAGCAGGAGGAAAGTAAAAATCATCAGAGACCCCTGCAATCAAAGATAACCCACTCTTAAAATTTTGGAACACGTCTCCATATGCACATGTAGAGTCCTGTACACATTTTTAAACGGGATCATACCATATATATTCTTCCCCAGACAGTTTAGTATGAAAAAGCTTTGTGGGATTCCACTGCATACATATGCCACCAGACCAGTTAGGCCCTTACCGACTGACTTTTGAGTTTGCAGTTTTTTCTTGTCACCAACAATGCTGTCAAGGCTGCTTTTGTGCAGTTTTGTAGAAATTTGTGCTGTTTACTTGTGCTTTCTAGGACTTCTGAGATTATCTTCTAAGGGTGCACTTCCTCTCAGAGCAGGGTTGTGGGTAATAGGGTATGCACACTGATGGTGTAGATGCCCATTGCCCAGCTGTTGGAAATTGCATCCCCAGAGAGGGTGCGTGAGAAGGCCTCTTTCCTCAGATGCTCCCCAATAAGGACATCAGTCATCTTACCTCTGCAGTGAAGCTCAATGGTCAAGAGTCCGGAGTTTTAGTCAGCAGGCCAGGCTCAGTTTATGTACTTTGAGATCTTGGACATGCTTCACCTTCCCAAGTATTTTTGGGAAGTGCTGCTCCTGTAGGGTCACTTTGGGGGTTAAATAAGATCATGCACATGAAGCTCTCACCCCCTAAATGGTAATGTTCTATTGTGAGGCTTTTTGGCCATTTTATTTCATCTCTTGTGATTCCTTATTTGTGCGTTTTTGTTTATGTCTCTTAAAGCATCTGTTTTTTTTTTTAAGATTTTATTTATTTATTAGAGAGAGAATGAGAGAGAGAGAGAGAGAGCACATGAGAGGGGGGAGGGTCAGAGAGAGAAGCAGACTCCCTGCCAAGCAGGGAGCCCGATGCGGGACTCTGTCCAGGGACTCCAGGATCATGACCTGAGCCGAAGGCAGTCACCTAACCAACTGAGCCACCCAGGCGCCCTGTTTTTGTCTTACAAATTTGTGAGACCTCTTTGAATGTTAGCAGTATTAACCTTTTGTCATATATGTGGCAAGTGCATTCCTTTTGACATTTTAAAATAGAGATAAAGAAAGTTCCACGTTCTCTGTGAACTCTACCTTTTCATTTGCTTTGTTTTGCTTTTTGTACACCTGTAAGACCCAGATTCGTCACAGGTGTTCCATTGTGCTTTGAGAAGTTTCTCCACCGGTCAGCCGGACCTGTGTGGTGGTTTCTGGTGGGTTTGTCTCTGGGGAACTGGAACTCATCTAGTTCAACTGTAGAAACAGAGTAATGACATTTATGTAATCAGGAAAACTCCCATTTATGTAATAAAAAAAACTCGAAGGTATGGTATGGATTAAAACTCACTGGGGTTAGAGTTCAGGGTGAATTCTTAGAGTTGCTGATGGAAGTGCAGGAAGCCCTGATGAAGATGTAGAAAGAAGTTGGGAACGGACGCAGGACTGCAGTCTTTGCCTGCTGGGGCACTTCTCAGTTCCACCTTCCTGGGGCAAGAGGCAATGTGACATTAGAAGCAAGGCATCTTGTCCACCAAGGCAGGCAGACATGATAGGAAAGAAATTAAAAAAAAGAAAAGGAAGACAAAAATGGTAAAGCAGGCATTTTCCTAGTCACCCCCAATAAATAATTGTTAATTCTTTTGTTGTTTGCTTTTGATTCCTTTACCTTTTTAAATTTTTAATGTTTAGGTTTTTTATGTTTTTAAATATTTTATTTATATGAGAGAGAGAGAGCGAGCATGAGTAGGGGTGGAGGCAGAGGGAGAAGCAGACAGCCACTGAGCGAGGAGCCTCATGTGGGGCTCCATCCCAGGACCCCAAGATCATGACCTGAGCCAAAGGCAGACACTTAACTGACTGAGCCACCCAGGCGCCCCTCCTCTACCTTTTTTTAAGGAAAGCGTGTCAGCTGATACTCACTTCTGATCAGCACTGCCCTTCTAACTCTACGAAGCAGCGTCTGTCGTGGGTTTAATTTACTTGTGTATACATAGGCTCGTGTGTGTCCCCAAATAAAACATTTTGTGATGGTTTAATTTTTAGAAATATATCATACTGTAAGTCTTGTGCATCTGCTTTTTCCCCTTTTGAACTTGTGTTTTTAAGTTCTATCTGTGTGAATACATTTAAGTCTGGTTCAGTCTTTTTAAATGCTGTGTGGTGGTTCATAATTTGAAGAGACCATGCTTTGTTCCTTCTCTTATTTTTATTTTTGTATTTATTTACTTATATACAGTGTACAGTGAACAATCTCCATGTCTGTTGAATGCAGGTAGAATACATGCAGAAGTAGTGCTGCTGGGGTGGGGTGCGGTGGGCCGTGAGCCCTGCAGTTTCACTCGGTACTGCCCAGTTACTACGGCCGTGAATTTTAGCTGCTTAACTTGCTGACACTAAAGCATGAGCAGGTAAGTCACAAAAGGTGACATGCAGGTGTTCAGTACGCACCGTCTCACCACAAAGCAGTTGTCATTTCTGGCCCGGCTGCTCCGAGTTACCTACCATTTAATCCAGTATCTGCCACATTCTCTCTACCCTGAATGATTCACCTTTAATTATTTTAATTTGCATGCGTTCGGTAACTGGTGAGGATGCACACTTGGAAAATTACATTATTGGTGGTTTGGATTTTTCTTATTTGCTTATCCTTACTCCTTGCCAACTTTCTACCCTATTTTTTTTTCTTTTTTTTTTTTTTTAAGATTTTATTTATTTATTTGACAGAGAGAGACACAGTGAGAGGGGGAACACAAGCAGGGGGAGTGGGAGAGGGAGAAGCAGGCTTCCCGCAGAGCGGGGATCCCGATGCGGGGCTCGATCCCAGGACCCTGGGATCATGACCTGAGCCGAAGGCAGACGCTTAATGACTGAGCCACCCAGGCGCCCCTATTTTTTTTCTTACTGATTTGTGGGTTTTATTTATTTAGTCTGGATAGATTTCTGTTTAATACATTTCAAGACATTTCTTTTTTTTTTTTTTTAAGATTTTATTTATTTATTTGACAGAGAGAGACACAGTGAGAGGGGGAACACAAGCAGGGGGAGTGGGAGAGGGAGAAGCAGGCTTCCTGCAGAGCAGAGAGCCTGATGTGGGGCTCGATCCCAGGACCCTGGGATCATGACCTGAGCCGAAGGCAGCCGCTTGATGACTGAGCCACCCAGGCGCCCAAGACATTTCTTTAATAGTCTACAGTGATATGCTATTTAACTTCATTTATAATGACTTTTGTGAAAGTTACAGTGTTAATTGAACTTATGTATTTTGGGCTTAAGTAATGATTTTCATCTGAAGGTCAGGAAGATGGTCGCTAGGTCTTCAGTTTCACTAGTTCGTTCTGGTAGCTTTAATTTCTAGCTTATCTATGTCAAAAATTGGATGGCTGGTAATCCCATATGGTATTCATAGATGTCTCATAGAGTTAGTCTCATTATGTATATAAGAACAGTCAGGTATGGGATGGGTCTGATCTTAGTTCTCTTAGCTCTTAAAGTTCATCTTTCCTGAACTAGACATTTGGTTAAGGTGAGTGTTGATACTGCCAAAGCCTCAAGTCCATTTCGGTAAAAACCAAAGCCCTCCCAGCCTTGGTGGGCAGGAGGCCGGATCTCAGGCTGGTTGAAGAGGTGAGTTGTCTTAGCCCCTCAAGTGTCCTGGAATGGAACCTCTGGGTCTGGTCCAGCCCTGATGGTTGTAATGGTGGCTCCATTTTTTAGTGTCTTGGGAGGTTGAGTGAGACTCATAAGTGAATTTGCATGTTTATATGTTTGCTTTCTGTCTTTTGATGATTGGATTTTCCAGAACAGAAAACAAGCCACAAAAATGGGAGTCGGAAAGAGAATAGCACACACCTGTGTTTTATTCCTTCAAAGAATTTGGGGCCATGATTGACTTTAAGGGGGCAGACAATGCATGTGTGTTTAAGAGCCCTTCCTAAAATGATCGGATGAGTTTGTGGGGGTGGGGGGTAGCGCTAGAAACTTAAAAACGAGGTAGCTATATTTATAATGTTTGGTGAGAAGCTCACAATTTCCAGTGTCCTAACAATAAATCAGTTATTTTTATAGAACTTTGGTCTTTCTAGCCTGCTGCATACTGGAGCTGTTGGGTTAAGTATTTTCTAGTGGTATTTCTCTAGGCAGGTGGAACAAGGTTGCTAGTGCGAAGCCAGGTCCGTGCTCCTTATTTTGGGGCAAGCACAAAACAACCAGGTGATATTTATCCTTTTACAGGAAACAAACCGAACCAAGCCCAGCCCCCAGGGCAGGCGCAGGCCAGGGTGAGGGTAAACACTTTTTTTGATGCGTCACTCCTTT